TACAATGTGACCACGGTTGAGGAACCTTAAACCAAGATCCCTGAGTTCCTATCATGTTCATTTCTATAGATACAACACTGAGCAGAGTCAGATAATTATGGACCGTGATCATGGAACCCCTTGGGAGTTCTTACACCTCGGCTCTAATTCCTACCAGACAAAGTTCCTCAACTTTTTCTCAACTGCTTTCTGTGTTGTCAGTTCATTAAATATGCTATAGTGTGAATTGTTACTCCATGAATATGTTTAAATACACTCACCTTTTGATGTAGTTTTGAAAATCATATTTTGTATCATTTTAAAATTTGTTGCATCATTTTATTAATCAGACAATTGTTCACATAGAAAAGTAATATAAAACTTTACCCCTATAACATATCACTAAAATAAATATTTGAAATAAGGTGTGTTTTTTAAAATTTCCCTTGTCTCTTGACTTATTTTGCTTTAAATGATTGATCAACAGAGGTCTGAATACTTCCTACTTATCTTCAGCCATGTGGGCATGCACTTTGCCCTTTATTTTAGTTTCATGTTATTAAAGAGTGGAAATGGGACAAATTGACTCTGCATTTTTGCTCTGTCAGAAATGAATTTGTTTCAACTTCATAAAGTTGCTCAAATGTCACTGACTCAGATTCTAGCAAAACTAGAGAAATCAAAATGTTTTTTTGAGGAAGGTTTTAGCTTGACCATGTTTTAAAATACAATAGAAAATTTTTATTACCTTTGCTAAAATAGTTCATCATGATTTTACTTACAGAATTTATATTTTTGTGCCTTATATTTTAACACAAAGACCTTCTTTAACAGCATCAGAAGTATATAATAATTAAAAAATGTTAACACCATAAGGTAGTCTAGATAAGGAACAAAATAAATATTAAAAGCCTGGAGAAATATAAACTTAAGAAAAGGTCCGATTAAAAATGTCTACACAAAATAGTCTAATTCTTTATAGAGGTGAAGTTATGCATAGAAGTGTATAAATATTCTTTTCTCTCTTTTCTCCCCTCACCTCCCAGTGGCAAACACACTGAGTATCTCTCATTTCTCTGAATAGTTTATCCAGTGAGGTGGAAAAAAACAGTGTTCACCCCAGCTTAGTCCCTTGATTTCTGGGAGTGTCTAGAGGTCACAGAGCTGCCTGTGATTTTCCACTTGTGCTGGGCATAGACTTGTGGAGAAAGCAGGGAGTTAAAAGGTTGATGGAGGCCTCCCTGGTGGTCCAGGGGTTAAAGACACAGTGCTGTTAAGCTATCGCCAGCCATCGAGGCATGAGTTCGATCCCTAACCAAGGAGCTAACCTCCATATGGTGCAGCAGATAACTCCTGTCTCACTGCTACTCCCCTCAGCAGTGTTTTTTAGTCAGTCTGCCTGTTCTGCTCCCTACTCTGTCTCTGGTGAATCCTCTCAGCATGCCCCCCACCTCTGGCCTGTACCCCAGTTCTTGTATGCATAAATAAATCTTTAAAAAAAAAAAAAAGATGAGCACCACCATGTGGGCAAGCCTGTCATGCAGAGGGGCCTGTGAGAAACAGGGCCTAGTAAATATTTGTTGGATGAATGAATGAGTAGAATAAGCCATAGTTTAGATTTTTTATTTATAAAAAATAGTATAAGATACAGGTAATTTCTTTCTCTTTGAGCTTTGGGAAGAAAACCATCATTTTCTTGCCTTTACTTCAACACTGCTAAAACTTTCTCTGAGGGCAAGATTTCAGATTTCTTGATTCTGCCCCAGCAATAAGCTGTTCTCTTTTCCTTCTGCACAGCTTTCTCTTTGAGGAAACTAAAGCTCCTCTTGGCAAAACTGCCCTAGTTGTGGGTATGACAGGAAGAAGCACTTCATGCTTGACATTCTGGTGAATGGGGACTGGAACTTGAAAGCTCACAGGGCACCTGTACTGGTAGAAGTCTGAGAGCAAAGAGGGTTCCAGACATGGTTAGCTCTCTCCAGGAGGGAATATTAAGCTGCAAAGACAGAAGAGAATTGAGAGGAGACCTATTTGGAAAGGCCAAGGTAGCTCCGTGGGCTGCTCAGTAGGGAGGATATGTTTAGTTAATTAAGACCAACCCTGGGGCAATCAAAATTTAATCTATAAATTCTTTGATTCTGGGATAGTCTCCTGGTCTCTGAGTTGATTCTTCAGGAGCATTTTTAATCATCAAGACTTTTCTTATGTCATTTCATCTCTAAATTTCTGAGAAAGAGGTCAACATGCAACTGTCTGAATATATGATGTGGTGGTCACTGTGTTTCAAGCTTATAATCTGCCATAAAACCTGTGTATTTTATCTAAATATCTTGCTGTAGATAAGGGAAGCAGGGCAACGGAGTAGAACATAACAAACACTTTTGAGACTGGGTCAATGGTACTACGAGTCATTTTTTCAGTTGATAGCTATCGATACAGAGAAGTAACCAGAACATACAGCTTGTAATAATAACAATATAAAGTTAGTTTTTTCCACAAATACCACAGAGTACCCGGAAGTGATCAGTTAACTGCCAAAACAGTAAGGAGCATTGCTGATTCTATGCCTGGGAGAACTTGATTTTATTGCAAAATCTGTAAAATCTGCCCTAATGTAAATTTATTTTTTTTTTTATATTTTATTTTTTTGTGGGACCCTCGCCGGCAGCCAGGGATTGAACTGGCGCTGCAGAGGTTGCGGGCAACCTCGCAACCCAGCGTTCAAACGCTGTGCCACCAGGGGAGGCCCCCTAATGTAAATTTATTAATGCACTATGAAGATGGAAAGATTTTTGTTTTGTTTATTAAAACTTACTGTATAAAAAAAAAATCAGAGTTCCCAGCAGTTTAATTCACACTCTCTCTTTTATTTGTTCCATGAATTCAATCTCAGCAATCATGTGGACATTATCCTTGGTTGATATCTAGTCACCCATATTGCCTCGTCTTGCTGTCAGGGCTCTTTGTAGCCAATAGCTTTTGAAAGCAATAATTCCTTTTACTGCAGATCTTTCATAAAATCATAATTTTACCATAACTCCCCACCCCCCACATAAATCTCTTTCTGTCTCTCCATTTCAGAGGATGCAATCATCACCCCATTGCTCAAGCCTGCAGGAGAGCAGACAGTCCTAAGCAGCGTCATGCCCATTTTACCTCCAAATACCTCTCTCATCTCGGCCACCTCTATCACACACACTGAAGGAGTCTCCTGCATGTTCTAGTCCTGGTTAGGACTGGACTTCCTGAGACTGGAGGCATGGCATGTGCTCTCAGTAGCAGCACTTACATCTATTCCTTGGTAGTGCATTTCACGGGATTGACATCCAAACCAAGAACACTGGTGAAAGCCAGCATTAGCCGGGGAAGCTCGCTTTGGGTACAAGGCTGGACAAGCAAATCTCTGGCAGAGGTACCTCAGGAAAGAGATGAAATTAAAAATGAGAGAAGCATACTTCTTGATTGCCCATGGGTTTACCAGTCCTGTCACTTTCCATTCTTTGTTGATGTAAATTTCAATCTGATACCATTTGTTTTCTGTGACTAATTTAACATTTTGTTGCAGCACAGATCTTTTGGCAGTATCTTTTGGCTTCAGTATATCAGATAAAGTCTTTGTGTTGCCTCAATTTTTGAATAATATTTTCAGTAGGTGCAGAATCCTAGTTTGAGATTCTGCCTGAACACATCTCCCTCCTCTTTTTCCGACACTGGGAATTCTGCTGCTAGTTTTTATGAGAGGTGCATTTGGGGTTCTTTGCAGAGTTTTAGGAACCTATCCCTTGTACAGTTCCTTGAACAGATCTGCCCCTCCCCCCCCCCCTTTGACTCCTTTCTCCTCTCTTTGGCTCTTTGTAGGTGTCCAGTTTTCTTCTGGGCCCACTGATCCAGAGGACCCCTCTTGCTGAAGAAGGAGCACTTCAGAATGCTCAAGGTCTTCTGCAGAGTCCACTCAATCCTCAGCAGGTTCATCTACTTGCCATATCTGCTAGTGAGAGCATAGTGTCTTGCTCTTGCTTCATGTTTAATGTCATAGCAGTAACATGGGGCACTTGGTTGAACAAAGAATCAGCAGCAGTCAGAAAAGAGGCAATCACTAGTCCCAAACTGCCAAGATGATGTGCAGATGCCCTTTCAAGCTGTATAAGGGAATCTGTTGTCTCATCCCTGATCCTTAGCAGGAGAAAGGAGGGGGGAATCTTTCACTCTTATTATTTTCCTCCATTGGTATGTGAGTGTGTGTGTGCTGGTTGGGGTGTAAAAGTGAGGAAGAAACAACATTCCTAAAGGCAGAATACTGTCTGTGAAAGCTCTGCAAGGAAGGACAGGTCTCAATGATGGCAGTGCTCTGAACTTTCTTCTTGGTTTGAGCCCTTAGTTGCCAGTTCTGGCACTAGACACCCCACATCATCTTATCCTTAACTGCCATATATTCACTTACTTTGATTCCGTTTTAACAGTGGAATCAAGTTGATTGTAGAGTAGGGTTCCAGCTGAACAGTGCCAGCAATTTCATACCTCTGAACATCAATCTACCTGGGATGACTTAGTTGACATGTTATGAAAGTACTAACTTAAACCAAAGGAATTTAAATCAGAAGACGTGACACAAGAAGTGATGAGAAAGAGACAGAAGAGGCCACCCAAATGAGAAGTCAAACAGAAGAAACATGGCTGGGGAAGAGGAGAGGTGTGTGAACTGTTTATTAATACTGAGAGGTTCCACATCACAAGACCACCAACAAAATGCACATCACTTTCAAAACAACATGAGACATATTGTTGGCTAAACAACTTGTCTCTGACTTGACAGGCTGCTGAAGTATAGTCGGAATCCATGGAGCTTACTGGCAAAAGCCTTGCCAAGTCCAAACTGTTCCACAACACATTCATCTGCACTCTGACCATCATCCCATGTCCCTCTAGCTCAGTTCTGGTCTTTTCCTTAAAATTGTTTCCTAATAGCTGTGCTAACAGTGGTTTTCTTAACACATAAATTGTAGATAAAGAAAAAAAATTAATATATCATTAGTTGGTACTCTTTTATATGAATCAATGATTTGACAATTTCCACCCCCCACTAAATGAGCACAAAACAGGGAGTAGGAAACATGAGGATTTCTTTACCCTTAGCCCAAACCATTTGCACACAAGACAACTCTTCACACACACTCCGGCACAATCCTCTCACTTGGGCATCGCGTTGCCTTTCTGGGGTTGTGAAGTGGCCTTCCTTGCTTCCTCCTCCGGGATGAACACGCTCACAGTGAAGTCGCTTGTCTCTGAGCCATACTTATTCTTCACAACCAGCCCGTATTTGCCAGAGTCGGAGGTACTCACGCCATTGATGGTGAAGTATGCGGTTTTGCCGGCCTCAAACCTGACGTTACAGTGGTCATCTGGGACCAGGGGCTTCTCGTTCTTCATCCAGGAGATCTCTGGAGTCGGGTCGCCCCACACATTGCAAGTGAGATTAAGTGCCTGCAAAACAGGTTTTGTGAAAACAAAGGACATAAGTCAGCTTTAACACGCAACTTCAAGAATCCTCCAGGAAGGTTGGCATGATCAGAGGAAGGATAAATATAAACCTCCTAGATCAGGCATAAATTGTTCTGTTTGCATGCCAATGGGGGTTACAGTTCAAAATCAAACATGAGTAGGTTTCTTTAGGCCCTTGGCTTTCTGGCATCAGAATATTTATCATGAAAGTCACATGAAGGAGATTGCTTTGAGGTCCCATCTCTACTCTTGTTTTTATAAACTCACAGATGCCTCTTGCTCTAATGTGGCATTTTGGACTCTTAGTAGAGAAATCTCATTGTCATAATTACCACCTGCTCACTTTTGCATCTCATCTGCTTGCAGAGCCCAGAAGCAGAAACCCAACAGTTGCTTCAGATAATGTGACAAATTTTCAAATTTTATCTTCCACCTTTTATTTTTTACCCAAATACCACCCGATCTGTCACACTTGCAAAGGTGCTCTACCAAGATGTATTCCTATTTCCTAACATTTTATTATGTTCCCAGCTGGATTGAAATCCCTAATTCTAAAAGAGCAATGCTTAGGCCTCTAACTTTACCTTTTTGTTGAAAAAAATTTTTAAAGATACTTGTAGATTCATAAACAGTTGCAAGAAATAATAGAGATCCTTATCTTTTCCCAGCTTCTCCCAGTTAACATCTTAAAAAACTATAGTCTAACATTGCAACTAGTACACTGACATTGACATGTCCATTTGATATTCTTTAACTTCCCCAGCCTCACCTGTGCTCATCTGGTCTAGTCTATATCTAGATTTGTGTATCCACCATCTCAGTAAATAAAAAGAATATTTCTTACCGCCCCCCGACCCAGGTATCACTCAACATGCCTTCTTGTAACCACCCCCCCCACTTCTCACCTTCCACCCCACCCCCATTCCTAACTGCTGACTACCACATATCTGTTTTCCAGTTCTAATTTTTTTTAATTTCAAAAACATATAAATAACATCACACAATCCATAACCTCTCAGGATTGCCTTTTTTATGTAGTATATTTCCTTGCAGATTCATCTAAGTTACTGCATTTCTCAACCATTTGTCTCAAAGGGAGAAGGAGGATGAGTAAATCAGGGGATGGAGGGGACAATGGCATAGATTTGGAGGATAGATTTGAACTTTTAGGGGTTAACTTAATGTAGTATATACACATGCTATTCTCAACGATGAACACCTAAAACAAATATAATATTATAAGCAATGCTACTTCAATAAAAAGAAGTTTGTCCCATGTAATGCTGGATGTACAGTCATGTGCAACATAACAACATTTCTGTCAAAAACGGACTGCTTGTACCATAATGCCCTTTTGAGAATTCAGAACAGCTCCATAGTAGAACAGCTATTCTTAAAGGTGTGTTGTGATATTTCGGAGGAGTTTTAATTTGCATTTCACAGATGGCCAATGATGTTGAATTTACTTTACATTTTAAATTCCATTTTTCCATTTTTCTTACTGAAATCTACATATTTTGAGGGGGAAAAGTAGGTCTCACAATATACAGAGGGAAGGATATCTTTCTAAATATCTCTTCTATAGCATGTTACATGATCATTTTTTGCCTTTTCTGTATGAGTGAGGGTAGCTTAAGAAATCTGATTTTTTCCATGATTAATTGGCAGTTGTTATTGAATTATTCTACAAATCCATTTCATCAAAAAAAGTATGTGTTAAGCTCTTGCCATTAAACTTATCCAAGGAGAGCAGGTGTGATTTTGGTAACTGTGATTACCTGTGTTAACTGTTAACAAAACCAAACTACCAAATACTTTAAGCATCATGGAAAATTATTATCCATACTTAATAGCTGATGTATAAGTAACCAAGTGTTTTACATACATTCTCTTTCTTAAGTCTTACTATGACACAGTTAAGTTGAATATTTTGAATCTCATTAAGTGAGGAAAATGGAAAACATAATTTAAAAACAAAAGCAAACATACACAGTTGAGCTTAAAGTCAACTGTGGTCATTATTTCCCACCCAGAAAGGAGAAACAGAGTCAAACGAAACTTGTCTTTGGCCAGAGCATTCCCATACATCTTGTTTTATCACCTTAGTTCCAACCACCTATCATATGTTTTTGTTTCCCTTTTAAAGGTAAGAAAAGATTTTGTTCCACTACAAATGCTCCTTCTTCATGACTGGGATATTAAACTTATCTTAATGAAACATAGGGATGAAGAAAGTGAATCCAAGTTAGAAACCGTACTCATGACTTTTCAGAGACTATGATGAAGTGAGGAAACCCCAGTTTAAAAACAAAAGAAAAAACTAAGTTTTTGACAGAAGCAGAATCTATCAAAATTCATGGAATAGCATATTTCCTTTCAAAGATGAGGTATTTAATAGGACAGCCCATTTAAGTTGTTCCTTTCTTCAATTATATCTGTGATATAGTTTTCACTAAACACTTTCCACATCTTAAGATTTTAAAGGGTAACTCTGGAAAGATACTAAGTGGTTTAAATATGCCCACATCAGCAAACATGCATCCTCATGCTAGGCCTACAAAACATTAAGATGATTGAACAATAGGCAGCATTTTAAACCATGGCCTTGGCAATTCTCATGTCAATTATGAACAACCATGCCATAAAGTGAAGACGTTGGTAAGTATATCTTAAAAGAAGCAGCAAAGTCTGGGGCACTGAAACCCATTTCTAGTGGCAGAAGTGGGGAGAAAAGCACTTACTCTATGCTTACCTTGCCCTCCTGGATGGTGACGACGTCAGGGAGCCCACCCAACACCCGGGCACGATCTGTAAGCATAGACATTTGTGGTCAGTCACTAAAATGATGAGAGCCAAAGATCACATTCATCAACCACTTCAGGGACTAATTTTTCAATTGAGTTTTCTGCTTGTTACAGTTATATTATACCTGCCTTCAATATGCAAAATAAGAAAATAATCAATTGGTTTTGCATGTTAATCCTTCATACAGATATTGCATGCACTCAGGTGCCCATATCTCTAATTAAAACATCAGCTTGAGCTTGCTTTGTCATATCAAGACCTGCTCCCCTATTTTCATGATTATTTTCAGCCCTGGTGCTGCTGCAGTTCTGCTCAGGGTGGCAGAGCAGACCTCCATGAAGAGCCTCCAGGCCCAGCTTGGCCACTTGCATGGGCTTCCCTATGAATAGGAAAATTTTCACAACCAGAGGCTCTATGCCAGGGAGATCTGGAGGGCCATGCAGGTGTGGGTTTTCTTTGAGACCTTTCCTAGAGATCTTCCCTTTCTCATGTCTTGGTAGTTTGAATTAAGTATTCCAGGTCTTATAAAATTTTAAAAACACAAAACTAGAAGGGCTCTAAGTTCTCTTTCAACTCTAAGCTGCTGTGATCAGCAATCTCAGGAAAGATTTCAGGAACCAGAAGGGAGGTAGACTCTTTTGCCCACTGGAAATTTTAAGTGTCTGGAGAGGCCAACAACTACTGTGGACACAAGCTTTGCTTGTGAACAAGGAGTAAATGCTCCCTCCCATCCCATGGGCTCTGAGACTCTCCTAACCATGCCCCTGGCGCTGGTCTCTGCCCTGTTTACACTAGCTGTAGTCTCCAAACCGAGGTGGGATTGGGGGTGGGGAAACTGATGGCAGATGGCAGGGAAAGGGGAGGAGGAAGGTGGGAGGAAAGCAGTGCATGTCAAAGGTGAAAATCCCATCCTGAAACCTCTGAGTCATTTCCTTTGAGTTTAGATTGACTCTACAGTTTTAACCCTAAACAATTTTCAAAGTCAGCTTCCCACACTGAGAAGGAACCTGGATTATTGTGATGGATTAGCTCATGACCCCTGGGATCCTGTAAGACTCTGAGCTCTTCTAGGTCATTATATGTGACACAAACATTTGACAGAAGTTAGTAGCAAGCATAATTCTGGGTATATAGATATGAGAGTCAGATGCTTGTTCACTCAGGTGGTGTCCAGTGAAACAAAAGGAGGCCTTATTGGCATCTTCTACTCTACAGGAGGTCTTGGGAATATGTGGGAAAACTTGTCAGGGCACCAGTGTCAGTAACTTACCTAATGTGAAATTCACAAAGTTTCTTATTTTTTCTTTAATGTATATAAATTTTTCTGATAACATTGTGCCTGCTGCAAGTGATTAATCACCTGTTGTGTGATATCTAGTCAGTACATTTCTCAAGATGTCTGAGTGGGAGCTCAAGGCAAGAGTTGGGTGAAATTCTTATAATGTGACTTGAGACCTTCCTTTCATATATATCCTTACTTAAGAGACTAAATAAAAACATGTAGAGCACTTAATATTAAAAAAAAAAAAGAAGGAAAGAAAGAACTTTTACTCTCCTCCAACTCTAAGCACAACAGCAAAATCAAATTTTGAAAGTATGCCCGGAGTGCAAGGTTTACTTACTTTTCTCAGCAATGGCAGCTTGTCTGTAGTTGAAAGAAACAAATAGACACACAAAGAAAGAAGAATTCTGTTTTAGTGCCTCTTTAAAGTAGCTAACACTGACTGCATTTCATTGCCTCAGAGACAATTTTGTTCCTCTATGAAGCAATGGAAAATGCTTTTACTGCAAAGGCCGAGATAAAAACCCTCTCTGGGCCTCCCTGGTGCCACAAGGGGTTAAGACACAACCTACGAAGCTATGGGCAGCCATTGAAGCACGAGTTCGATCCCCGGCCAGCCAGGGAGAAACACACATGGTGCTGCGGACCTCTCCTGTCTTGCCCTCTGCTCCCCTCCACAGTATATTTTAGTCAGTCTGCCTGTTCTGCTCCCCATTCTGATGAATCCTCTCACCCCCACACCTCTGGCCTATACCACAGCTCTTGTATGCATAAACAAACCTTTAAAAATTAAAAAAAAAAAAATAAAAGCCCCTCTCTGACCCACAGGTGAGGGAGCACACATAGGCAGTTGCTAGGAAAAAGGGACTTACTTTAATCTCTGGAATTCAGCAAAGGCTTCATCATATGCTTCAAGAAGGAAGAAAAAGAGAAGTTAGAATTTTCTTACACAGAATTGACAACATTAAGGGACTGATTAAAAAATCACAATATCAGGTCAACGTGACCAGCCCAGACACAGCTAGGCTGACTTGACTGAGACTGTGCCTGTGAGTTCACGTTACAACTTGATGGACCTAACAAGAGACGTAAATACTTTCTAGGTAGAAAATATGAAATAGTGAATTTGGAAGGTTTCAACTCAGTGAGAGACCTTTATCCCTTCTAATAGAAAGGCAAAGATTAGTTCCACCAAAGATAAAATGGGAACAAAGTTCTGTTTCAAGTAAAAGTTGGTTGTCTAATAAGCATCCAGCATCAGAAAAGCTTTTCTCTTAATTAGCCATACCACATGTTATGTTAGCTAGACAGTTACATGTTATGTTGTCTGGCCCATTTATTTGTATGAAAGAGCAAGAGTTACTATAGTCACAGTTTGTGCCAGTGCTTGCCTGAAGCAATGTTTCTATGCCCTACTGGAGATGAGATAAGAGATAGACAAGGAAATAAGAGCTATAGAGTTCTAATTTCTTTCCCCTGAGCCTACAGAATTAAGCCACTTTGAAGACTTCAGCAAAAAGGCAGCTTTTAAAATCTTTCTCACCTTGTCTTTAAGCAACTTGGTGGTCTTAGGCTCACATTTTAAGTCTAGAAAATACTTACATAACACAAGTTTGCCAACTTTCTTTTACAAATGAGGAAAGTAAGCATAAATCAAGCTTAAAGTCTCTCAAGGTAGACCAGTTAGACCAAAGGAGACTCAAGTTCCTTCACACTTCTTTTAGTCCAGGCCACACTGAGCTAGAGGTGGGCATGACAGAGATAATCTGTATTTGGTGGCAGCAACAATACTGGTGAGAAAACCCAGAATATGAGAGAGGGAAATTAAATAAGCTTTGGTGGGCCAAAATTATTTTTAAAAAAGTTTAAATTTATCTACCACTTCTCTTTTTTTATTGTGTCCAAAGTGTTTTATGGACTGCAAAGTGTTTATCACTGCATGTGTGTGAGTCTCTTGGGGGTAGCCACTCTCCTTCCCTGCAGAGAGATCCTTCAACTAGTCTTTGCAGTCATGGTGGGTGAGCAGGGAGAGGGGTATGAGGGTCAGTGCAAAACAACTCAAGGTAGCTGCTTCTAAGTTAGGAATTTACTTTGTGATGATTAAAAAAATGAGGAGTTATGGCATACTTAGATTGTATTTTAATATATAAGGGGGGGGGAAATCAAGCCACTGTGTCCTTTATAACTTCATACAGACTATTTTATTTCATTAGGAAATAATATATAAAGGAAGACTATGGTATTAGGAAAGGGAGAAATGGTGCCATGTTTTTTACTTTTTATTAATTTATGCATCTTTAACTTAAAGAATTTAGTAACTTTACATCATTATTGGTCTTAGATGGAAAGACATTGTCTGCATTGTTTATTATCTTGTATCCTCTTCTCCCCCAAGCCCCTTACTGTCTCAGCAGATGAACAGGAATCTGAGGGTCATAGGGCGCAATTTTTCCAACTTCTTTCTATTCTCATTTGTCTTTGATTATTCATATTTATTTTCCTCTAGTTTCTGAAGAAAGGGTTTCCTTGCTTCCTCCCAAAGTTACCAAATTCCCTCTTCCCTTGATCTCAAACCTTTCATTCTTCAGGACTTTGGTTTCATCAATGATTCCCCTTCCCTCACATCTTCAGTCCTTCCAAATCAACTGACTTCGTGAAGTATTGGAACATGCTCAAATTTCAATCAACATAAAGTGATTCTTTTTCAATGTTTTTACTTTCTCAAGTGATTGTAAATCCAGCTGCCTTTCTTTGTAAACATCTTGAAAAAGCAGTGCTTTCTCTCCGTTTACTGTCTCCTCTTTGTCACTGAATTATTGCTTTACCACCACAGCTGAGTTTAAGCAACTTTATCAAAGTCTCTCATTATCTTTCAAAGCCAAACGTCATGACCTCTTACTCCCCTTCAGGCTTTTTAAAAAGTCCACTCCACAGTTAAGTTCTATTGTGCAGAATATTCATTTACCTTGTCCAGAAAGATCCACTGTTTTCTGGTGTCCAGTTTTGCCATCAAAGAGCTCCATTACATATTTCCCTTTGTCATTTGGAGTGGGTTCATTGATCTGCAGCCAGAGCTGCTCCCCAGTGACCCCACACTTAACTCTGTCTGTGTATTTAATAGGAGTTCCGCTGTTGGAATCAAAGAAACTTTCATTAGTCTTTGCTTTCATCCAGAACTGACCTTTACTTTATCTCTTATGGAGGGTCTTACCATAAAGTTTTATAGACTTTCAAATAACATGAAATCCACATGTGTTATTCTGCTTCAGAGAAATCATGAACCCTGAAGCACAGACCTTGGACTTTAAGGCCTGGGGTAGAGGGTGTCAAAGGGTCTAACAGTCTGCACATTTAACTCCCAGTGGCAGTCTGGGATCCAAGGCAGACAGCAACACCAATACTACTGTGGTATTAATTATATTTGGTTTTGCTTGGGTTTATTTGTAAGATTAAGGAAATCTTTAAAGTGAAAACAAAAGTGTACATATTGTGGTACTGTATATTTCATGCACTTGGTCTGTGTCTATAAATCAGATTTTATAAGCTAGTCAAAAACAGTTATGGAGGTTTATCTGTAGCTGACATCTATTGACATACGTGACTACAAAGCTATTTCACACAGATGGAAATGTGTGCTTAGAAGTAAGGCTAACAGTTAAATGAAAAGCAGAGTTGCTGCCAAGACAAACATCTGTCCCTGGATGTGAGTTTCTCAGTATTCCATGGAGGTAACAAGCAGATCCATGGGATGTATTCTTTTACAAGAGTATAAAAAGAAATAGACCCTTTGTTTTGTAATCTGACCACCTAGAATTGTTACTGTTACAGATAAACTAAGAAAAAGGTAAAGTAGATGTCTTTTCAGTGATAGTCAAAGGAACTTTATGAAGAGTTTATAAACATGTGAGAAAAGAGATAAACATAAACTATTACAACAATTGGCATAGAGAAAAGACTGGAAGGAAGTACCCCAAATGTTCCTACAGTGGCTAGGAAAATTGATATGATATAAATTTTCTAATTTGTAAAATGATATTATAACTGTATCTCCAAAACAAACATGCACTACATTTGCAGTTATAATAAACAAACTGAGGAAGTGAGAAAAGGCTGTCCCCACAGTCACAGGTAAGCTAAAACCCCTCACAAGCTAGGCCCCATGACTCTGGGATTTAGAGCCCAGAGGGGGACCCAGCCACCGCCAGGGCAGACCAAGGGTGTAGGGGAGCAAGGACCCAGATGCGCCATTTTTGAAACAGGGAATTTTGCCTCCGGACCTCACCAAAACTGTGTGGAACTGATAAAAGGCTGTCCCCATAGTCAGAGGTGAGCTAAATCCCCTCACAAGCCAAGCCAAGCCCCGCGACTCTGGGAGCTGGAGCCCAGAGGAGGATCCAGCCACTGCTGGGGCAGACCGAGGGGGCAAGGGAGCACAGTCCCAGATGCACCACCTTTACAATAGGGAACTTCACCTCTGGACCTCACCAAAACTGTGTGGAACTGAGAAAGGGATGTCCCCACAGTCAGAGCTTCCGACATCCCAGAAGGAGCTCACCAAAGAGACAACTTTATCACCTCTGAAAACAGACATCAGAGAAAACACATATGTAGTGGGAGACTTCGACACACCACTATCAACAATGGATAGATCAACAAGACAAAAAATAACTAAGGACACTAAAGCTCTAAATAAGGATCTAGACCTCTTGGGCTTAACAGACATCTATAGAACACCACACCCAAAAGAATCTGAGTACACATTTTTCTCAAGCACACAGAGATCATTCTCCAGGATTGATTACATATTGGGACACAAGACAAACACGAACAGATACACTAAGATTGAAATCATACCAACTACCTTCTCTGACCATGAAGGCATCAAACTAGAAATAAACCATAAAAAGAAGGCAAGGAATCCCCCTACCTCATGGAGATTGAAACCCACACTACTGGAAGACCACTGGACTAACGAGGAGATCACAGAAGATATTAAAAAAATACTTTGAGTTGAAAGACAAGGAGGACACCAATTTCCTAAATGTATGGGATGCATCAAAAGCAGTAATAAGAGGAAAATACATAGCAATACAGGCTCACATCAAGAAACAAGAAAGAACTCAAAGAAACAACCTAATCTCACATCTCAAACAACTAGAAAAAGAATAAGAAAAAAAAAAAAACCCTAAAACCAGTAGAAGAAAGGAAATAATAAAAAATCAAAACAGAAATAAATGAAATAAAAACTAAAAAAAAAATCCAAAAGATCAATGAAACCAAAAGTTGGTTCTTTAAAAAATAAATAAAATGGGGCCTCCCCGGTGGCGCAGGGGTTGAGCGCTGGGTTGCGAAGCTGCCCGCAGCCTCTGCAGCGCCTGTTCGATCCGTGGCTGCTCCCCGGCCATGGCCACCGGAGGAGGGTCCCACATGGCGCGACAGACCTCTCCTGTCACCCGCTGCTCCCCTCAGCAGTGTACTTCGGTCCTTCTGCCTGCTCTGCTCCCCGCTCTGGCTCTGGTGAATTCTCTCACCCTCCTGCGCTTCTGACTGTACCCAGTGCTTGTATAAATAAATAAATAAATCTTTAAAAAAATAAATAAATAAATAAAAATAAATAAAATGGACAAACCCCTAGCCAGACTTACAAAGGAAAAATCAGAGAAAACACAAATAAATAGGATCACAAATGAAAGAGGAAAAATCACAACAGACACAGCAGAGATCAAAAGAATAATCAGAAACTACCATGAACAGTTATATGCAAACAAACTCAACAATCTAGAAGAGATGGACAAATATCTACAACTCTACAATCACCAAAAGCTAGATAAAGAAGACATAGAACACCTAAACAGCCCAATTACAAGCAGTGAAACTGAAATGGTAATCAAAACCCTCCCCCAAAACAAAAAAGCCCAGGACCAGATGGATTTACAAATGAATTCTACCAAACATTCAGAAACAAACTAGTGCTTATTCTTCACAAACTCTTTCGAAAAATTGAGAAGGAAGAGATAATACCAAACACATTCTATGAAGCCAACATTACACTAATACCAAAACCCAACAAAGACAACACGAAAAAAGAAAACTACAGGCCAATCTCTCTGATGAACACCGATGCAAAAATCCTCAATAAAATTTTAGCTTGCAGAATCCAACAATGTATCCATAAGATAATTCACCACAAACAAGTAGGATTTATTTCAGGACACAAAGATGGTTCAACATCTGAAAATCAATCAGTGTAATCCAACATATCAACAAAAAGAAATACAAAAACCATATGATAATATTAATAGATGCTGAAAAAGCTTTTGACAAAGTACAACACCCATTTATGATAAAGGCTCTTGAAATTCTCGGGATACAAGGAACATACCCCAACATCATAAAAGCCATATATTACAAGCCCATAGCCAATATCATTCTCAATGGTGAAAAGCTGAAAGCATTTCCATTAAGATCTGGAACAAGACAAGGATGTCCACTCTCACCACTGCTTTTCAATATAATACTGGAAGCCCTAGCCAGAGCAATAAAACAAGAGAAAGATGTACAAGGAATCCAAATAGGGAGAAGGAAGAAGTCAAACTATCACTATTTGCAGATGACATGATAATATATAGAGAGAACCCCAAAAACTCCACAGAAAAACTAAACAAACTAATCAATCAATTTAGTAAAGTAGCAGAATACAAAATCAACACATATACCAGTACCCTTCCTATACACAAACAATAAATCTGAAGAAATCAAGAAAACCATCCCTTTTATTATTGAAACAAAAAAAATCAAATATGTGGGAATAAACCTAGCAAAAGAAGTAAAGGACCTATACAAAGAAAACTATAAAACACTGTTAAAGGAAATAGAAAAAGACACAAAGAAATGGAAAGACATCCCCTGCTCATGGATTGGAAGAATAAACATATCAAAATGGCCATCCTACCAAAAGCAATTTATAGATTCAATGCTATTCCAATCAAAATTTCAATGTCATTCTTCAAAGAAATAGAACAATTATTGATGAAATTCACATGGAGCCACCCAAAACCCCAAAGAGCCAAAGCTCTCCTGAAAAAAAAAAAAGAAGGGAATGGAGGTATCACACTCCCAGACTTCAAACTATACTACAAAGCCATAATCATCAAAACTGCATGGTATTGGAACAAGAACAGACACACAGACCAATGAAATCAAATAGAAAATGCAGAAATAAACCCACAGATTTATGGTCAACTAATCTTTGACAAACGAGCAAAGAATATGCACTGGAGCAAAGAAAGTTTGCTCAGTAAATGATGCTGGGAAAACTGTCGCTACGTGCAAAAGAATGAAGCTTGACAACTACCTCACACCATGCACAAAAACCAACTCAGAATGGATTAAAGAACTAGATATAAGACCTGAAACCATAAAACATATAGAAGGAAATATAGGCGAAACACTACATGACATACATCTCAGTAACATCTTTAAACACATATCACTCAAAGCAGTGACAGCGAAGGCAAAGATAAGCAGCTGAGACTACATCAGATTAAAGAGCTTCTGTACAGCAAAAGAGACAGTAACCAAAACAAAGAGACATCCCACTGATTTGGAGAACATTTTTGCACACATCACTAATGATAAAGGATTGATGACAAAAATCTGCCAAGAGCTGATGAGACTCAACAAAACAAAGTAAATAACCCAGTCAAAAAAAATGGGCAGAAGAGCTAAAAAGAAACTTCTCCAAGGAAGAAATGCAGATGGCCAACAGGCATATGAAAAAATGTTCAACATCACTTGTAATCAGGGAAATACAAATCAAAACTACCATGAGATACCAACTTATCCCAGTGAGAATGGCACATATTAAAAAAACTAGCAACAACAAATGTTGGCGAGGATGTGGAGAAAAAGGAAATCTCCTGCACTGCTGGTGGGAGTGCAGACTGGTCCAGCCACTATGGAGAACTGTGTTGAGATTCCTCAGTCTGCTAAAGATGGAGCTTCCATATGATCCAGCAATTCCACTCCTAGTTATTTACCCAAAGGACACAGAAACATCAATTCAAAAGGGCACCTGCATCCCTGTGATTATTGCAACACTATTTACAATGAGTGAGCTATGGAAACAACCCAGATGCCCAGGAGTAGATGACTGGATCAAGACGATATGGTACATATACACAATGGAATATTACTCAGCTATCAAAAAGATAAACTCATGCAATTTGCAGCAACGTGGATGGAGCTGGAAGGGATCGTGCTCAGTGAAATAAGCCAGAAGGATAAAGAGGAATGCCAGATGGTCTCACCCATACCAGAACCTGAGAAAACCTAAATTAAGGGACCAGGAAAAAAATTAATTATAATAAAGTTAAAATCAAAATCAACAAGCAAGTATAAACCAGGGACACACTACAGGGCGTGAAAAGGGAGTAGGATCAAAACAATGGTGGTGGGAACTGTATGGGGACTGTAACCAAGATGAAAATACATATATTGTGCAAAAATGATGTAAGAAATATATAAAATTTTAAAAATTGACTTAAAAATAAATTTTAAAAATGTTAAAAAAAAATAAACAAAATGAACTTAAAAAAAACAGAAAAACAAAAATCTCCACCAAAAATCCTTCAATGTCCAAATAAATATTCAGTATTTTCTTATAAACTATGTTCTATAAAAGACACTAAAAATTAAAATGCCGTAAGATGTAGAGTGAAGGAATTCATCTTTATCCAAAGACTTTAACCTGAGTAATATATTTGCCTTAGAGTGTGAGAAAGACAGATAGTTTTGTGCTTTGCTGTAATAAATCCATTTTAATTCTTTAATCTCTGGCTAACACACAAGATAGTTCCTTACATTTGTAAAGCACTTGATGGTTTACAAAGACCATAGACTTCTTTCTCTTGTTGTATCCATCAGTGTTATGAGATAGAGTAGGTGTTATTACTCCTATTTTTATATGAGAGAAACCTGAGATTGAAAAAATTAAACTTGCTGAATATCCAAGGGAAGGCAGGAGTAAAATCAAAATTAAAACCCACTTCAAGTGTTTTCCCGATTATGCCACATACCTATATAGAGGCAGAGAAGTACTTCTTAATACCTGAATCTTTCTCAGGCACTGAATACACAAAACACTCATTAAGCTGATTAGATCAAGTAATGTAAGAAGTTTATTATTGGCTGATAATAGTTTCTTCAAAACTCAGTGTTCTAATCTTTTTTGAACAAGTAATTCTTTAGAGATGATGTAAAGCTTTTTGATTGATGATTCAATTAATTTATCTTCTCTTATTCTTCAAAAAAGATATATTACAATGTCTTAGATGTCACAGAGGAATTTCCTAGAATTTGATCTATTTTAACTTATAATTGCTTTCCTAAAATGTGTTCTGGAAGAAACAGAACAAAGAAATGAAACCCTAAGCATTGTACACTGGAATTTTACTTCTTTTTTTCTTTTAATATTCAGGAAATTAATAATGATGATGATGAAAACACTGTTCTATACAAAAGTAAAGTTGCTTCAAAGCAAACCACATATCACTGCTTTGTGAGATCCAGTTCTGGTTAATTGTTCGATTTAGGCTTTTAATGCAAAACATAGGGTTACTGCCAGGGTGCTGGCTCAGGCCTCTATCCACCACTTAGATGTGTAACCTCAGTCACCTCCCTGAATCTGAGCTTCCTCATCTCTAAGATACCTCTCATAGAGCTGTGAATATTAAATTAACTTATACATCTATATGGTGTCTAGGATAGGGAAAATACAAAAAAAAACATCATTATCCACCTCTTTCTGATGATGTCACTGTGACCTACTGCTCAGTGGGGCTGATAAAGAAAATGGGAATGAACTGAAGGTGACTATGCCCCATCAGATTTCTGTGACAAGCTGCTGCTGTGTTTCAGATCAGGAAATTTCAGGAAAGCACAGAGGGGAAGGACACTGTCAAGTGTGTAAATGGGAGCTAAATTAGAGGCTCATTTTAGTTCTTGGATCCCCAGAGATGAACTTAAATGGAATCCCTCCACAACCTACATACAGGAAGCCTGGAATAGAACATGTATTTAGGTTCAATCCAGTGCAAAATACATATTCCCATATTCATCTTGAGATCTCCAAAGCCTGCCAACAGTGGACAAGAAACAAGCTAATTCCAAACTATCCCAATTTCTACAGATGACAGTAGCAACAAACGTGGGCATTTCTCTGCAGTAGACTTCTCTGGTGAATGGTCATTGATTCAAATAACGAGAAATGTGGTGTCTGTTGATACATACTGCCTCCGTTTTGTTTAGACTACAGCATGGGTTAGTTGTATATAGAAAAATAGTACAGGAATCTAGCTTTTGATGCCTGGCAAAGAAGAGAGTGTTTAAGCATGATTATTTGGAGGCAAAGCTCACATTATAGAGATGTCCACAAGTTGTGATTTTTCCCAGATCACAAAGACAAATGCTCTGTAGCCATCACTGACCTTGCCAGGTAGGTGTTGATGGAAACCACTAACCTCACATTAAAGGAATAGTCTGGGCACTCTGTCTTTTTCTCATCAACACAGACCTGAGAGTAAGACTCCTTACCCGAGAGGAACAGAATGTTGTCTCCTCTCTTCCCTATATGGAGAGATACTTTCTACATAAGAAGGACATCCCATTTACTTACTTGTGGGACCAATTAACTTTCAGATCATCCAGGTAGTAAGTAACGAAAGAGTATAGTCGGATACCCTCAGCTGTGCTCTGGATCTTCAGGTCAGTAGCAGACAAAGCTGAAAGAAGAAAACTTATTTCAACATTTGTAGGCCCAAACAGGAGAGTAATGAAATACTGTTGTGAGAACATTTAAACTTACCTATTACTTTACATACTTCACTCATCAGTTCTTTAAAGGCTGTGAATAGAGATTTCATAGAGTTTTAGCATAAATATGCTCAATGTAAGGTCAAGTCACAAACTTAGTGAGTTTCAAGTTCTTAAAAATATCCTGTCTGGTGAAGAGTTGACAAGTTGAATTTGTTGACTAATTCCTCTTTGAGGAAATAACTCAATTTTTATCCATTTTTAGAAGACCTCAGGTCTTATTTGGATATTTCCCCCTCAAGTTCTTTTTAACTTTCACCCTATTTACATTCTAGAAAAAGAGTCATGTGAGATTTCTAAGAAGGTTCTTGGCTTTCAGACTCCCTTTCTTCTTAAGTCCCAGGAAACCTTAGTTTACAGTAGAGGAAATTCTCTTATCTATGCCATCAGTTCACAATGAATTAACCATTTAGGTTCTTTGATATTATTCAGTCCAATGATAAACATATTCAGTCCAATGATAAACACATTTAGTCCTGATTTTTCCAAGAATAGGAAGGTGAAACCCAAGGTAGATTTCTGATATTTGTTGGCAATACTGCTAAAGATATTGTTCAGGAGCAAGAGTGGAAGTTTGGTGGTGGGAGGTATCACATGTAGGATTCAATATCATGATATGTCCATCCTTAGTAGTCTCTGAAAACTGGAAATTACTTTCTTGCTTTGTTAGTGAGAGATTTTGAATTTCACATATAAATCTTTCTCACCACCTCTTAAAAGGACTATTTTGTGACTCTACTTTTCACAGTTGCTTTTGATTCTGGAGCATTTTTATAGAATTGAAATAAAAATGATGATTTAAATTGGAAACAGACCCCTAGTGAATTATAAATTCTCTGATTATCAAAAATATACTTTTAATTTCTAGGAAGATTAAAAGTAAAGTATTTTTGAATAAAACAATAGGTCTCTCTACAGGAATTTTAATTAAAACAAAGTTTGTGGACAAAAAAATCAGCAGTACATTGTCACTTCAGCCCCAATCATAATTCTGGTAACCTATATATAGAACAGACAAAATAAACCACAGTAGTTGGTGACTGACCTTCATCCTCAAGCTTCAATCTGCTCTTATCTTTTCCTCGGTCATCTTTGAGGATAACTTCATAAATCCCAGCATCTTTCTTGGAAAACTAAGGGGAATAGATATGCCACATTGCAGCTGGTAGCCTCAGAGTATATGGTATTTGCATTTTTAAGGCCCTGTGATTTATGGCAGTGCCATCAAAACACACACTAAACAAGCACCTAGCTATGTGAACAAAGAACCATTCACAGATGATCCTGTCCATCAGAACTTGATCAGCTGGTAGTTTTGATTTCTTGCTCTAAGGCTGTTGCTGATTTGAGACTGAAAAGTTCAAAACCTTTATTTTTCCTGCCTTTATATTAAAAACTTATCATCACAGATAAATGCAGATAAACACCTATGAATACTATGTCTGATTGTCTCTTTACTTTTAGAGAACAAATTATAGTGGGGCTTAAGAGCAAAAGAAAAATGAGCCACTTAACTGCCTGGCCACTCATTCATTATGAAAAACTAGTAGCTCTGAAACAAGAGTTGTGGTGTCCAGGCAATTTTACTCGGACATTTGACAAATTCATGTATATCACAAGGAGAGAGAAGATTTTGTGTGTCTCTACACTTGCTTTTTAGGTGACATGAAGGCAGGAATCTTTAGAACAGTTAGAAGTAAGTTCTTACAAATTATTTGGGCAAAAGAACATGGAATTTAGCCTTTGTGCTTTGGAAGAATGTAGGGTATAGAACTAATGTATTACATTTCACATTTATAGGCACCTACCTCTGTTATAAGCAGGGTGCATATTCCATCCTTAAAGTCATGCTTTTCATCTACCGATATCTCCCTTTCATCTTTGTACCACAAAATGTGCGTCTCTTTTTTGATATTTGCCACCTGGAAGAAAAAACATAATTATCATTCTCAAAATAGGGAACACTACCCTTATGAATATAGCATTGGACAGAAGAAAAAGTACTGACTTCCCAGTCAGGGGATAAAGATTGATAAAAGAATCTTCAAAGTTATTTTAATTGATAAAGAGTTTAGAATAAGGTAGACAAAAATGAATAAACCTAAATCAGTAACAACTCTATTTCCAGCAGAAAAAAAATTGACTTTAAAATTATATGAAAGACAAGAAAAGAAAAAAATAGATAAATATATACTAACATACAGACTTAAATAAAAATAAAAATCTGAAAGCCAAGGGAAGGCAAATCCCATCAGTCTAAATTATAATCTATATCACATAAAAATGGCTTTATCAAAGGAACAGGAAAGGAACACTTAATGACAACAGAATGAATAAGTGCAAATATCTAAAAATTTAAAAAAATGAAGCTCACAAATACATGTAGAGGGGAAATATTTTTTAATTGTTTTAAATTATTTTTTCTGGTTTTATCAACATGTAATTGGCTATAACATTGTATATGTTTAAGGACTATACAATGTTTAAGGTATATAACAATTATTCAGCATCTGCATACATTGTGAAAAGATTATCAAAATGAGGTTTATTTCCATCACCTATTATTTAATAAATTAGTTGCTTAGCAATTTTGAGGAAACTCATTTATTTATGTTTAAAATGTATTTATTGCTATCAAAGTACCAATTTTTCACATCCTTGTCAGTGTTTTGACCATACAGGATCCCCCTCCTCAGGTGAAGTCACTATAGCACTCTCACAACTAGAGTACCCATGGACCACCACCAAAGTCCATTGTGTTCTCTCTACTGCCATCCTCACCTCTCTCCCACTCCTCTGAAAGCCAGTATCTATGATCAGCTTTCAAGGATTGATTTTAAAGTTTGACTTTGTCTAACCCTTTGTCTGGTTTTTCTATATTCCACTTATAAGTGACACCATCTGGTACCTTTCTTTCTAAAAAAAAAATTCTTACTGAAAAAAATAAACCTTATTAACTAAGTCTTAGTTAATGAATAGGAACAATCATCTTGCCATCCCATATTTTTATGTTTTAAGTTTTTTTACCATCTACTAAACACAGTGACATTCAGTAGTAGGGATGTGTCACTTATAATTTTGGTTCAAATGGACCTGAAAAATTGATCTTCCTCTTCTCCTCATTCTATTTCATATTTATTTCCTTGTATCATATATTAAAAATTTATCTACTTCTTACCTTGCATTTCAATAGTACATTACATTCACTAGTCACTTCCCAGCTCAGATACTCAGCAAAATGTGGACCTACAAAATTTCAATGCCATCAGCAATCATTATTAATTACAAGTGCAAAATCAAAGTTCATTCTTAAATTCTAAAATGATTTATGTTTGAAGTGAAATTTTAAAAGGTCAAGACTTAGTTTTAAGTATTTTTAAAAAATACACATTAGTAATATATATTTTAAAAAATGTATCAAGTATTAACATAAATCTTAATATTCATTTTAATTGAAGTTTTTCTTTTTATCTCTGTCTATTTTTACCTTGTTTTCTGATCCATTCTTGCCGCTGGAATTCAGCTTCTTTCTGGAGCTTTTGATAAACTAGATATTGAAAAACAAGGAAGTATGAAATTGAGCTGAGTGGTATAAATATACATACCAGTCACTCTGCTGAGGGATTTATAATTATTATTATAACACTAATACATCATGACTTCCCTACTCATTTCCAGTTTATTTATTTACTTACTTATTTATTCATTCATTTATTTATTTATTTTTTACATCATTTTTCATTTTTGCACGATGCATGCATTTTCATCTTGTTTATAGTACCCATACAATTTCCACTCCCCTTATTTTGACCCTAATTTCCCCTCCCCCACCTCATAGTGTGTCTCTGGTTTATAGTTGCTTGTTGATTTTGATTTTTACTTTATTATAATTAGTTTTTTTCTTGGTCCCTTATTTAGGTTTTCTAAATTCCTGCTATGAGTGAAATCATCCAGTATTTTTCTTTGATTTCCAGTTTTTAAATGAAGAAACAGGCCTAGAACGTTTAAATAACTTACAAAGTTCATGAAGGTAGGAAATAGTGAAACAGTATTGGATATTGCAAATATAGAAATAAGGCTAGCCTTATTACTGTTTTGTTAAATGCCACAGTTTAAATCTTGGTAGCTTTTACTTTGGTTTATGACAACTGACTTATTATAATCTAGTTATAATGTATAATTAATAGATTGGGCACACACTACTTTTGCATCCTTTTTTCTTAATTTAAGTAATTCAAAGTAATTTAATCCTCAAAGATAATATCATAGTTTGTTATCTCAGAATCAAACTAACATATGTACGAGGTGTATTTATTAAATATATTTGATATATATATCTCAGAAACAAACTATGATGTTATACACTCAGACACACACACACACACACACACACAGAGTCTTGGTTGTACTGCAACCTTCACTGGAGAATTTTAATAATGAATGCTTATTTATAAATGATATGTAAGTGTGGTCTTGCCTATGGACCAGAGATAAATTTGGTGTCCTTTAAAATTAACTTTCATTTCTATGAAATACTACTATGGAAAGCGTTAATTGAAAGTTACATTTCAAACATTGGAATCCAATCAAGAAACAATTTGCACTACTTTTCATGTGATCCCTTTTGTACCATGAGTATTTTGCCTTAAAGGGAATAGCAAAATCATCCAGTTAATGTACTGTAGGATTCTTACCATCTCCAAGGAGAACAAGAGTAGAATGGCCAGTTGCTTTGCCATCTTGAATCTGGAACGTATATGATCCCTCATCCTCATCCTGGAGCTTTTCCATAAACATTTCAATTATACCAGTGTTTCGGTCAATATGCATCTTATATTTCTTTAAAGTGAAAAAGAAAAGAGAAATCAATAAGATGGATACTTTATTCTGAAGACAATAAGCTGAATGACATAAAAACAAACTTTACAGAGTCATCATTATAGTAAGATTTCTTGTTAATATATTTTTAAAATGTTTCAAACTCATGTCAAGGAAAAGGAAAATAGTATGCAAAATGTGTGACCTTGACCAAAATTGATTACACTTTAGCCTAACACTTAAGTTTAAAAATATTAAATTGGGTCACCCTGGTTGCCTAGGGGTTAAGTCTCAGCGCTATCACCTCTACTGCCTGAGATCGATCTCTGGCCAGTGAGCTAACCCACATGACACAGCAGACCTCTCCTGTCTCACCTGCTGCTCCCCTTAGCTGTGTATTTCAGTAGATCTACCTGTTCGGCTCCCCACTTTGTCTCTGACTCTGTCACTACCCCTCCCCCTTCTGGCCTATACCCCAATTCTTCTATGCAAAAATAAATAAAAAACTTCAAAAAATATATAAAATTTTGTTAGCCAAGTCATAAAATGTAATCAAAAGACTTTGAAATTTCTATTTTACCTTTCAGATTACATTAATTTTAGTTATACAAATAATAGAAATCTAAATTCTATGGGGTACTCCTGAGGGGGTGGGGGAAGCAAATATTGTTTAAAAATGAAAAATGTTGTAAAAAATAAAAAAAGATAAAACAAGAACAATGATGTAAAAATTTAAAAATTTTAAAAAAGAATAATATAAATCCACAGATAGCAAGAGGAAAGTGTTAGTCTCATTCATTGCTATATCCCTGGCATTTAGCACATGCATGGCACAAAGCAGTCAATAAATATCTGATGAAATAATACATGAATAAAAAAATATCCAAATGCTTCCACAGCATTTGAAATCCATTTGCTCCTAATGAATTGCAACTGCCCTATTAAACTGTTTTAACATATTGCTTTTTTTTTTTCTTCAGTGTAAAGTTATATCTTCATCCCTGGGGAGACAAGCACAAGTTCCATAACAGACTGATGAATGTTTCCTACAAAATATCACAGGATGAAGGCTTAGACCTGCGATCAACTCTATGGTACAATTCATGCCCCAGAGCAACTCTTGCAGGAAGCTAGTCTTTGGCAGAGACCACATTTTTATTTAGTTTTCTCCTACCCTAACTTATTTCCTTTAACCTCCAAAAAATCATTTGAAAGAGGAACTTTATTTCAAACTCTCCTTCCAGGGAAATTGATCTAAGACAGTAACACCCATCTAATGAAATATGGTTAGAACCAACTTCAACGACAGTGACGAGCTCTTCAAGCTCACTGTGTATGTGCACACAGAGTATGTACACCTACCCGAGTAAATGCATAAAAGGGACATGTCTACACACATTCAATGGCTGTGGTGGGGGAGGGATGCCCACAGTACTTTTCCTTCCTTTCCACGGGTCAGGTGGTCACAGCTATTGTGACAACATTTTTGAAAATTGAAGGAGATGACCACAATGGACCCACATGTGGCTTGCTCTGGTTCTACACACAGTTACTTTATGGGCTGAAAAGGAGTACACTGCACCATTTCATGTTGTTTGTGTTACCCATTCTCCCCCTTTCTAATGAATCCTCAAATGTTTTAAGTACATATCTTGATAAAAGGAAAAACAGGTTGTTAATAATGGCCACAAACCAGGCCTCCCTGGTGGTGCAGGGGGTTGAGCACAGCACTGTGAAATTATCCGCAGCCTCTGCAACACAAGTTTGATCCCAGGCCGGCCAGGGAGGTACCCACATGGCGCAGCAGACCTCTCCTGTCTCATCTGCTGCTCCCCTCAGCAATGTATTTCAGTCAGTCTCCTGTTCTGTTCCCCACTCTGTCTCTGGTGAATCCTCTCACCCCCCACACCTCTGGCCTGTACCCCAGTTCTTATATGCATAAATAAATCTTTAAAAAAATAATGGCCACAAACCATAACTTTTTCCCATCCTTCAGACACCCATTTTTATACCCATAGGTGAGAACCAGAGACCCTAAACCCAAGTTTGTGGGGACCACTGGGCACTTGCCCAACCAATCCTCAACCTATTGATGTGTGGAGAGGACAAGACTCAAGTGTTGTAACTCTATAAAAACCACTCTTGCATTAAAAGTAAATAGTTGATATAGATAAGGATATTAATATAGATATAGACACTCACCTATGTAAATAAGACACTAACAGACTTACACACACAAGTATGAAAAGGAGACCAAAAGGCATAAACCAATACGTATATTGAAAAGTTGTAAGAATTTGTCATTTGTCCTTTCTGAGTCTTTAAAGTCTGTTACAAAAAGGATGTATTGAATTTTAACCAGAAAAGCAAAAAGATATTTTTCCTTCATTTTTTTCTTGAGCCACTGGAACAACAGAGGCCATTTCCTCCACAGAAGAATAAGGTTCCCTCTGGGGTTTCTGATGTGAACATGTGAATCCAGGTAAGTATTTTGGCACCTTCTCAAGAGTTTCCTGATTTGCCTGAGATAGTTTGGGTTTGTGGCTTTTGGTTTATTATAACTACCCTGGAAAAATTATTACTGCACCATTTTTCATTCTCAAAAGTTTCAGTTTGAATAACATGAATAATCAATCTATACTTCCCTGTATTGTTTTATATGTGAAATGATTTATACTTCTTCACCCCATGCCCAGTGATTTTCAAAACAATTTATTTGAATTCAGTAGCACTTTTCCTGTGTATTTGACAATGACATGTTTAAAAATATAAAAAGCATAAAACCTACCGGTCCTTCAAAGATTTCCTTATCATTAAATATGTAGCTGACTTTGGCATTGCTAGACAGCTTCTCAGCCTGCATCCAAAACCGAACCTGGCCTTTCTCCAAAATTTCAACAGCCAACTCTGATTTAACTGGGACAGCTATGAATAAAGATAAAAATGGAAATTACATTAGTAATCAATTGTTTTGAGACAGATTTTTCCAATAAATGAAAAAATAATCAATGAAAATAGCCAGTAACATCTTGCTTCTTGCAAAGCCTGGAGGCTGCAAGAAAACACTGCAGGGAAATCATGATACTGAGGGACAGAAAACCCAAGTTCTAATCTTGACTGTCACTTTGGACAAGCCATCTACTTTCTCTGAGTCATAGATGTCTCAACTATAAAAATGTGGAAGATGAACTTACCTTCAGCGGTATTTCCAGCCAACTATATGACTACTGTGGCTCTGGTTAGGTTTATTTTGGGACAATAACAAAGTGTGATGAAAGACTCTAGAGCCGAGTCCAAGTTCTGCTACTAACAAACTGTCATATGAAGCCGGGCACTGCTTCTCTGGTCTACATTTGACTCATCTGTGAATGACTGGAATTGAACTGAAAGCTCTACTTATCAAATTCAATATTCTATGCTATTAATTAAATATTTGGAAAGATGTTAAATTAGATTTCTTTAAGCATTTGCCTCACTTTGGAGGTTCCAAAACATTTTTAAAAATCAATTTAAAAAATAATTAATTTTGATACATACACAAAAAATGAACATGCTTGTTATTTAAACTTTATCATCTTACTGGTATTCCTACCAGTTCATTTAAGTTCTTAGACTAAGCAAAAATTTCCAGAAGCAAATAATCAAGTCACAATAGAGAAACTATATTAAAACTTAACATGGCTTGTTCTGTAGTGAAGAAAGCATATGGTACGTCTGACTTACAATTTTATTGCTTTATCATTTGAGGTCGGGTGAAGTTAAAAAATTTGACTGATACCTCTAAAAACCAGTTTCTAAATTTGTCATAACTTAAAAATATTCTCTATAAAGGCTCCTCCAACTATACTATGCCTATACATCAGATGGCTCTACCGACATACATTGTAGAAATGCATAGTTGTTTCTCAACATTTGCTAGTCCTTTCCTTAGTGGAAATCATCACTCTTTGCTTTCACTAGACTCTTCTTAAACCTATCTCAGAATTTTAGCATAAGCTGCATATTAAATTACAGGCTTCCCAAACTTGCACCAAATGTTCCTATTACCTCTTTACATATACCTTAAAGCTACCCTTTTCAAGCTCTAAAGAATGCCTTCATTGGCACTATTCTATGTCCACGGTAGACCTCCGCTATAGAGTCATCCTAATGCAAAATTGAAAGGATACTAAGGCGTCATCTCCTGAGGGGTGTCCCATGTGGGTGGAGGATGGGCTTAGATGTCACACCATCTCTGAACAATGATCTCTTCCTTAAATCTCATGTTGCTAACTTGCTAACAAGGATATTATCTGCCTTACACCACTACCAAGAAAAGAAAATATAGTACCAGAATACACTAAAGCACTATGATTAATGACCAGTGCTCAAGAAAGGTTAATTCTCTTCCTCTTTTGATTTTACTGATGACAAAGCTGTGCCCTAATCTCCAGGAAATGGACTCAGTAACGTATTTGGGTAGCAGAGCTGAGACCAGAGTTGTGTTCCTTTTGGTCCTGTCTGTCCACTCTGAAGGACATTAATGGTTTTCCAAAGTGAACATTTTTTTAATAAAGCAGTTCATGGCCAAATCCCAGAGTGGCAACAGCAGAGGCTAAGCTTTCTCCCTATAGGCGGACATTCCTGCTTGCTACAAGTAAGTCATGAAGGGAGCTGAAAGTAGAATCTATTCTACTGGAGATCTCATTCTGAGAAATCTAATACATGAATGATTTAGTTATCTAAGAGGCCCAGAGTAATGCCACTCATGCTGGGGCACGCCCCCATTTCCCTTAATGTTCACTGTCCTCCCTGAGTAATAGGAATGTCTTGGGTACCATGACCACCAGCAGTCTCCACAGAGGGCCCACACAGAGACAGCTATGTCCTGGTTAGTGTCAGATCACTTGGGCTTAACCCTAAGTAACAGCTGTGAACATCTGGTTTAATCATGTAACCCCAAGTTCTTCATCTCCAAAATTAAATCACCATAGTACTGACCTTTTTAAGGCCATTAAGGAATTTAAATGATACATTTTACTTAAGAACTCTATATAAGAGCTCGATGAATGTTGGCTATTAATATTTTGGTTTCTTTCCTCTTCCAGTTGCTTTAGCAATACCCTACAATCACCAATTGCAAAATATGATATAATGATATCTAAGAGGACATAACAAATAGATATTATTTATGCATATGTGTTTGTGTATATCTGCACACAAGGAGTATTTGTATACAGATAGGATAATGACCAATGTCTACAAATGAAAAGATATTATTCAGGATGTTGACAACACCAAAGTATACTTTTTACCTTTGACCTAAATATGAGTTTCAAGGAATGCTGGCTTTTATATCTGATTGACTAGAGGCTTAGAAATTTAGGAATATGCTAGGATGGGAAGGCAAAGTTAAATTCTGCTTGAAAATAATTTCTTTCTTTCTTCTAAGCCTAAATCTCCATAAGCCCTTTTCTCTGGCAGTTCATTTGTCCCAGCAAAATATCTGTTATTTATAGGTTAAAGTCATATATTTAGTGGTTTTCAAAATATTTGTAAAAACAGCTTAAAATAGGGGAATTTACTGTGCTAAGGGATAAAGGCACACCACACTCTCCAGCACATTCTGAAAAAGACAGGGCCACTTAAAACCTTACAAAATGTCAAGAAAAGCACTTAATAACTGTCAATATTTACTAAGAGAAAGTGGGTATAAATTGAGAAATTAGATATACTGCTTTTACTTTATCATTATATCATTGTAATCATGTAGTGACATGGCCGTGTAATAGAGGTAGGGAGAGAAAAGTACTAAAGCTACAATCTTTAAAATGCTGCTTCCATGGACTAATGAAAACTCCTTTGGACTTAGAGATTTGGTACTTACATGTCAGAGTTTTTAACACATTCTTGGGTTCTGTCTCTGTACCTATCCAAATCCTGGTCTCTAATACAAGGTTACAGTTACTCTTGCTCCTAGAACCAATAAGAGCTCTTACACTTAAGCAAAATAAAATATTTCAATGCAAATGACAATGACATCAAGTAATCACCATGTCCAAGTCCATCTGATCTTTGAACTTCAGGGGAAGACTTGACACCTTCATTCTAGAATAATAGCACATATTCTCTCATCTCCATCAATTAAACTAAATGTCAATGTTAATTGGGCTGAATATTTCCTAGACATTTTGTCAATGCTTATGGTCCCATTTACTAGCTCAGTGGGTGCAGTTGTTTCTCTCCTTTCCTAGCGGTGTTCGAGAGTGGAGAGAATGAACACAAATGGGGTCTGCCTGTTTTCGGGCTCCCTCTGTGTTCAGCATCTTGACCTTCTCTCCACAATTGACCTTCTCTTCACAGCTCTAGGAACATGAAGGGAGAACAGCCACCAGCCCTTCTGCTCTAAGCAGTGGATTTTTTGAGGGTCACTATTCTTTTTCAATTAATATTTGCATTTTTCCTGAAGAGTCCAAAGATCAACCAGTAACATACTGATTATTGATCACAGTCTTTATATGGAGGTTCCATAAACAATGACAACAGTCATTGCTAGAATAGACACTAAGGCATAGGGTAATGAATCACCTAGGTTCATAGAGAGTGAGTCAAAAGTAAGGTACAAAAAGAGATCAGGCCAAACCTTTATCTTCCATGTAATTGAAAAACAACAACAACAATAACAACTTGAAGACACTATTCATGCTATTTCATCTCCAGTTCCATGGTGAGTAAGCATACAGATAAGAAATATTTCTTCCCTAGAATTTAGAAAGCCCGTATCCCACCTTTATATCCCATAGGCACCCCACTGAGCTGTCTTGCTAAACAAAATTTCTTTTGAGACTGCTATAACTGACACCAATAGTCCCAACAACTTAGTCTCATGATCAAAAATGCCATCCTTGGGAATGTAAGGGAAATCAAGCCAGTGGATCCAGAGCAGTGTGATTTTAAATCACCACTCTGTTAGGAATTTCAGGAAAGCACACACACGTATAGGCCACGGAGCTTTGGTGAGGATGAGTGAAGCATGTATAATATGGAGGTGGGACAGCTATGTAAATGATTGACAAATCAATAAAGTTTGAAAAAATATGCGGTTTAAGCTGATTGAAAAAGGAGAAATATAGAGAGTTTTGCCTAGAGTCTAGAGTTAGGGTACAGTCATGAAGCTCTTGGATTAATGAAGTATTAATTTAGGGTTTACACAGTGAAAAACAACCTGATTTAAAAGAAAGATTGTATGCGATCACTTTCTATTTGTTTTCTCAAACTCTAGGGTATAACTTTCTGGATAATTCACTGTTTTGGCCAATGGGTACCGATGGCAGGAGATTTTATCAGGACAGTGGAACTTTCCGAGTATCATTTCAGACTTCATTCTCTTCTTGTAGGTGTCAACTGTAAAATTTAATCTTTTATGTGGAAAGTGCTTCATTGAAGGCTGTATAGTTAATTTAGAGGGATTCTTTTTCTGACCTAGGTATTTTTACCTTCTTTTCCAGGAGTTTAAAATGGTAGGTGTGGCGCTAAATTAAATTGCTTAGGAAGAAGTTAGTTTGTCTAAAAGAAATATAAATGAATTCATCATTATACATGCAAAATCTCCAAATCTGACAGTGAAAAGTGAAGAACTTACTCATGTTATATCTTTGTGACCTGATTCTTTTCTTTGTAACAGAGCATGGGATGTATTTTCTATGTTATATCCTCTCTATCTCATGAGAACAATAGCAAAAAAAAAAAAAAAAAAAGCACTGCCAGAAAGCATTTATAGCTGCCAATGTGTATGTTCCATTGCGTATGTTCAATGTGTATGTTCAAGAGCCTCTTTTCTTAATTCCATCAAAATTGTCAATTGTGCTATTCTATGTCACCACCTAATAGAATCACTAAACTCTGAATGCATGTATCATGGACACTTACTTGGGAACTTGTGTTCATGGCTGAGAGCAAGTAAACGTTTCAATTCTGTAAGGAGAACAAAAGAACAATTAAACCTTGAACTACTAAGACAAAAGACATTTGATCTTGAAGATCAATGAGACACTAAAGCAGCATTAAACTTGTGGATGAATTCATTTTTAAACTCACCTTCCTCATCTATTAAGTAGCTTGATGCTATTCCATCAGTGTCTGTTACATCACAGGAGTAAATGCCCAAGTCTTCCGTCCCAAGGTCTTTGAACGTCATCTTTGACCTTTAGAACAGATCACTTGGATAAGAAATGAGTCAAACAGGGTCTCTGTCCCAGCCTGTGCAAGGCATTTTCGTGTACTGCTCTTCATTGCGAATGAACACTTGTTCCTCTCCTGCTTGCTGACCTAAAGCCTCTCATTCTTGCTGTTTCTAGGGAAACCTTCCTGGTCTCTTCCCAGGGTGACAGTGAGAGGGAAGATAAAAATTCCCCATCCCCAAGCATATATATCCAGGAAAAAGATACTGAGAGCTCATCAACTTAACTAAGAAGCCTGAATCTGTTTTTCATCTTATTGCAGAGCCTCCTGATAGTGGACTCTGCCTACCTTTCTAGATCATCCTCTGCACTTCTCTATTTTGAGTTTCTCATGCTAGTTTGGTATTCCTCATTTCTTTATCTGTAGGCCCCCTATGTATAATCACTGTGCCTTCAGGGACAGGATCATTTTGTTTACTATTATGTACCATGTCTGGCAGATAATAATGTTTAATAAATATTGTGGAATGAATAAATGAGTGGGTCAGTGGTCTACTTCATTTTGTTTTCAAATTTTTGGTGAGTTATATTGTTCATCAGTGTCTAAGATCAGGCAAGAATTTAAATGTTAGTCAAGTGTACAAACTAGAAGAAAAATTTATAGCCTGATTGTCTTTTCCTTGACCAAATTTATATTTTAATTCAAGGACTGTGGCAACAAAATGTCTTTTAATTGTATTCAGTATTTCCTTGCCATTCTCCAATAAAATTTCCTTTTTTTTTTTTACTCTTGAGATCTTTTGGGCTTCTTTGTAATACTTAGGAATATTTTGCTTTGCCAAATATAATCCAATATGGTTGGCATTATAAAAATAGTGCCAAGCCAAAGTGAAAAGAAAACTCAGAATCTTGGGACTGAAAGTAAGTAGTAGGTCAGAAAATAATCTCCTCCCTGCTCTTCAATTTTACAGTAAAAGAAATTCAAAGTTCATGGAAGTTAAAAGCTAGCTGCCCCAGTCAACAGTCAGCTCCCAGGATGAGAATTCTTTCCCATGTTTGATTGTGTTTCCAGTGTATTATTGTGGTGATGACACATGGTGACCGACCTGACATTAGGAGCCTGAGGGTTTTGAGTGACGACCTTTTGCTCAGTTTCTGGTATGCAACAAGGTTCCTGGTATGAATCTTGCTTCATGTTAGACCATATACTGCCCTAGGGCAGGATGGACCTGGGGGGGGGTCCATGACTACTGACCCTTTACTCACTCCTTGGTATGCAACTCTAGAACTCACTTCTTGGTATGTAGCCATATCATATCTGACCATCTACAGCTTCCAGTGCAAACCCACCTGGAACTTTGGAGAAACTAAAAGTGTATATAAGCCTCTGACTTCCTATGAATGGGGCTCAGCCTTTGGCTGAGAATTCACTAAGTCAGCACCAGTGCACATTAGCCCTAGTGTCTACGTTTCCTTCATGCCATATAACTGGTGTAAGAAGCAAAAGAGATTATACCTAATTCATTTAATTTGTCATATCTCAATCAGCAAGTAGAAGCTCTCCATAAGCATCTTCATCTTTTCTTCAAAATTAAAAATTTTAATAGAATAATAGACATCTTTCCAGCTGACTTTTATGCCAATCAAAGCTTTTCTAACATGAATGACTTCATATATGAGAAAGCACTTTAAACGGAATAATGCAGAAGGTATGTTATAAAGATTGTTGTTTTTTGGGCCTCCCTGGCGGTGCAAGGGGTAAGTCTCAGCACTATGAAGCTATCAGCAGCCATTGCAGCACAAGTTCAATCCCTGGCCAAGGAGCTAACCCAAGTGGCGCAACAGACCTCTCCTATCTCGCCCGCTACTCCCCTCAGCAGTGTATTTCAGTAGATCCGCCTGTTCTGCTCCCTACTTTGTCTCTGGAGAATCCTTTCACACCCCTTCTCCCCACACCTCTGGTCTATACCCCATTTCTTGTATGCATAAATAAATAAAAATAAATCCTTAAAATATTATTTTTAAAGCTTATACTGATTATTACTTTTTACATTACCAGACATAAAATATTCATTACTTTATCTCCAATACCAAATATTTAAAATGGAAAATAAGAGCTTACTTCATCCTCTTATCATGAAAAGGAAGCCCATTATTACAATTTGAAACAGTTCATACTTGTTGCCTTTGCTTTCAATTTCCACTCGTGGAGAGTCCTCAGTGGACACGTAATCTTTAGACCAGGTGAACTCAGAATTTGGAGTCATCTGATCACATTCAAAGTTTAAGGAAATGACTCCATCATCATCCACACTTACAACAACTTCTTTGGTTCCTAGAAGATCAAAAACAAAGTACTGATGTTTTCTGGTTAAGGAAAAAAAAAAAAAAAGCAAAAAACATCCAAGCAAGAACTCCTTACCTTGAGAAACTTACAGCAGGGCCTTGAGTTTGTGCAAGGGAAAAGCCCTAATTCTCCTCTACAATTCAACTTTTATACTGTAACAGGGAATTAAAGGAAGGCCATGTTTTTGAGAGCTAACACCACGGATGGTATTGTTTGTCCAGGGCTATAAAAAAATTGGTTTGTGTGACTAATGGTATATTTATGGGAAGGGGACAAGGCAGTCCCTGGAAAAGGGAAGGTTGAATGGTTCTTAACAGAACTTAATTCATGACTTGTTTCAATAACATTAATATCCAACTATTTGGGGGGAACTGATAGACTAAAGTGTCCAAAGAGAAATTGAAGGGGAGAAAGTAGAGGTAATAAAATTTCCTATATTTACATGTTCAAAGTTTATAAATCTTTTAAGGATGGAGAAATATTTGGAAACTTTTCTTTTGATCAGGTAAACTTAAATGGATCTAAGGATGTCTCTCTAGACTAGAATAGCAGCAACCTAGCAACAACTGTTATTAAACTGTATGGAAATTTAAATCACAATGGATTTTAAGAAATCCAGGCATTTCCAGAAGATTGGTATTTAGATATAAAAAGATTTACATTTAAAATTCAATTTGGTGGTAGGGTAACTATGGTGACCACACCTGATGATAGAAGTACTTTATCATGAAAAAAAAAAAAATGAATAAGGACTTAAAATAACAATAGTTCAATTAAAAAAGATGCAGTTAATGGGCTTCCCCAGTGGCACAGTGGGTTGAGCACAGTGCTGTGAAGCTGCCCACAGCTTCTGCAGCGCAGGTTCAATTCCCAGCTGGCCAGGGAGAGTCCCACATGGCATGGCAGACCTTTCCTGTTGTGCCTGCTGCTCCCCTCAGCAGTGTATTTCGGTCATCTGCCTGTTCTGCTCCCGCTCTGTCTCTGGTGAATTTTCTCACCTTCCCGCGCCTCTGGCCTGTATCCCAGCTCTTGTATAAAAATAAATAAATCTTCTTTAAAAAAATAGTGCAGTTAATGTTATGAGTTCTTCAGTCTGGATACAAATTTGTGTCCTTATTGAAGGCTGTGTGTGCTTTAATTGTAAACCAACAAAAAGTAATTTTTTTTAAAGATTTATTTATACAAGAACCAGGGTACAGGCCAGATGTGTGGGAGGGTGAGAGGATCCACCAGCGACAGAATGGGGAACAGAACAGGCAGATTGAGTGAAATACACTGCCTAGGGGAGCAGCGGGCGCAACAGGAGCGGTTTGCCGCGCCATGTGGGACCCTCGCCTGCCGCGATCAAACCTGTGCTGCAGAGGCTGAGGAGAGCTTCACGGCACGGTGGTCAACCACCTGCGCCACCAGGGGAGGCCCAACAAAAAGTGATTTTTAACACATAGAATGCTTAGATAAGAATAGTTCTAGATTTTAAAAAATTGCTTTCTTAAGAAAAAAGGGATATCTTCATATTACTTAACATAGATAAAAAGAAATAATGATCAATTAAAACTTAATTGTTCCTTAAGTGAAGTGTCCACCATATATTACATTTAAAGGCCTGTGTCTACCCCATTGGAAGTTGCTGACCTTGTTTTATTTCCATTCCCAAGAACACTTGACAAATTCTCACAACCCATTGTCATATCACAAATAGTGAACAGTGTTCTTACTGATATTTAAGAAGAGACTAACACCTAAGATTGTAAGGGCTATAGAAATCAAAACCTTCTGTATATTTGTATGGTTCTGAAGAAGTTATAGAAAAGTCATGACTTTTTCATTTCATAAATGACTACTATAGGCAGGTACTAGGTTGTTGGCCTATCGACAGAAAAGACAGTTCATCTTTTGAAGGTGCCACAGTTGATGCACGTTGTTGCATAGGCCTGTTTTCACACTAGCATTACCATGAGCTAAATAGACAAACACATGCAAATAAACTCATACCCAGGTTCAGTCCTGGAGTTTCTGAGTTAAATGGTGTGGAAAGGAGTCAGTATTTTCAAAAAGTTCCTGGCATGATTCTCATGCACAGCTGAAGTGAAAACTACTGTTCTAATAGGTGAGAGCTATCAGTGAACCAACGAATACAAGAGTACTTCCCTAATGAGCCAGTTGAACTAAACTTTAACAATCAGCCTAGCTTCCTGCTGCAGAATCCTTCAATACTCCATCATCACAAGATCATGGAGCATACATTTGTATTCTTGGCTTAACAGGTTCTGGGACTGACCAATTTTAGAAACTGGATTGTAATAGCCTTTGGTTAGTAGGTTGTCAACAGTTCTGGAATTGAATTCTTCTAACTTGCTTTGCTCCTACTAAGTACTAACTTCCTGCAGTCCAGTACCTGCTTGGGGCTCTGCCATGGTCTGGGTTCTCCTGTCTGCTTCTGGGTGTCTTCAAGAATACCCGCAGCCTGTACTGTCAGTTCTGTGTTGCCCATTAGATCACCTGCCATGCCTTGGCAGTTCTCTCTCATCTCCAGTCTGATCTGGCTCACCCTGCCCTCACCTATACCCTGGCCTGATGTAATCAACACAGATACTGTCTTAAAAATATCAAATACTGAAAACAGCACCAACAAATCTACACTAAGTATTTTTCAATTTATTCTTCTTCTAGGCTTTTTTAGTGAATAGATTTCCTAGTAAAGCATGACACACGTACTCTATTACTTGGATCTTCTTAACCAGCAAGATTAGGTTTGTGGCTAATCTACATCTGTTGTCATACTTGTTGACTTCAAAGGGAGACTGATGACCCTTCCAAGCCAGGTCAATTAGGCAAACTTTTAAATGAAAATCAAATTATACTTGAGATGTTTTTGAGATCTGTAGTTATATAAGACTTATTTTCTATCTGAAATTTTAATGATGTATTCCAGAAGAAGTTCTTCTTCTGAAATAGCAATCTAAGCTTCATATCAAAACACTGAAATTCATAACAAGTCCCCTCCTCCTCACCCTATCCATTCTATCATAAAATAAATATCTGGATAAAAGTAATATGTTGGTATCTGCCAAAATAATACAGACAACCTTAGGCTACATGTGTTTTAATAGGGACTTATGAAATGTTAATACTTAGTTTATAGCCTTTTTAACTATGGGAACTATTTTATGAGGATCTGCCATATCTCTTGTTACAGCATGTTGCAAACATTGGCTTTTCCACTGGCTCGTAAGCCTGGTATGCAATGACAAAGTCACATTCCTCCACTTTTGGTGCCCACATAGCACCTGGTATGTAGTAGGTACTCAAGAGATACATGTTGCAAGAATGAATGTGTCTGTTGCATATGGGACAAATCCAAGTATCTCCTGGGTTGTGATACTCCTTCATGATGAAGCATTTTGACTTTGTGCATCCCAGAATTCATTCCAAGGCTGGAAGCCAGTGGTTCCTGAGTGGGTTAATTTGGTGCTGTTTACTGTATCCATGTCTGCAACTGTTAGTAATTATATTCTGGGAATGGAATAGGCAAAAAATGACTTCTGGTGCCTCGTTTCAGATCAGTGAAATAAAACCCTTGCCCAGGAACTCACCATGAGATTCTTTCTTGGTACCAAAATTTCCATAGTGATTACTTTGTTAATATAATGCTTGACTCCCTGCCATTCTGAGGCCAAGGACAAATGAATAAAAAATCAATTTAAGCTTTCTTCAACCTGTTTGGATTTGGAATCTACTGCTTAAAGGGTGATTTTAACTTATCAATGACTAGATCAAAAATTTACTTTTATACTAATCTAAGTGTTCTTACAGTGGGGTCCTTTTGCATGTCCATCTGGCAGCATTTATCTCCTCATATTTCTATAAGAATATGTATCCTGGAGCCTTTGTATGTTTCTTTTTACTTAGCATATATTTTTCTAGTATTTTTCTATTATCTCATGACATTTTGCTAAGGGAATTGATATGAGGTGTGGTGCTCGCTCCAGACACAACTGCCAAACTTGTGTAAAAAGGTCACTCTTGTAGCATCCAGCTCTAGAGGGGAGTTAACAGAGTAGTTGAAAGTAGGTTATGAAGTAACCAGAAGAAAGGGGCAGATATTTCAAAAGGTACTTTTGATATACTTTTCAAGTAATAGGAAATGAAAATAGAGCTTTCTATGTTTACATATTTTTAATCATCAAAAATAATACATTATGTATCTGCTCTTTGTTTATTTCACCCTGAAAATAGGAATGGATTAAAGTGTGTTCTTGGACTAGAATGAATACTAACTTAAAATAGTTAGCTAATATTTTTTATCCTCTCCCATTCCCAGTGTTTTATGCATCTTTAATGAACTGAAATATATAACTTTGAAAAGTGATAGATTAAATGACAATATAAATAATACATAATAATCTGAAGCTTTTTACTCAGTGAACACTGTAAACTTTGTTCTTGTGACAAAAGGAAGACTGTCTTTCCTAGTCCAGTCATGGCATCTCTTGAAACTGAGAAGTGAGTGCTGCTTTGACTCTATAGATCATTCAGCTAAAACCACTGTTAGTTTAACCCAGGGGTCAGCAAACTCTGGCCTGTGGGTTAAATCTGGCTCATTGCCTCTGCATGGCCTGAAAATTAAGAATGGTTTCTGTACTTTTAAACATTGAAAGAAATCAAAAGAAGATTAATATTCCAAGATGTGACAATTATATACAATTTTAAATTTCTAATGCATATTATATAATGCATAGCATGAGCACAATGAGGCTTTCTTGGAACTGTGCTCATTAGTGTATATAGGTCTATGACTGCTGTTGTGACAGGGCAGAGTTGACAGGGACTGCGTGGGTATAGAATTGAAAATATTTACTAACTGGCCCTTCACAGAAAAAGTTGGCTGACCCCTGGTCTAATTCTTAGCTATAATTACATAAATCCTACTTTTGCTCAAGACTGTACTTTCTATGGGCTGTTTCAGCTTGCCCTATGATAGGTAAATGGGGGCTTACTGGCTGTGTACTCCATACTCCCATTAGAGTACATAGGAGGGCTCTAATGGTAAACAGACTAACAGGAGTACATAGGTGCACTCTATGTATGTTTGAAACAGTTGGCCCAGGAAACATAATGTGATGAGAAACAGCCCTATTTTCAGGTATGGACCAGAAAAGCCCTGGACCACTGCAAAACTGGCTCATTCTGTCTTGAGGGTTTATGACAATGTAAATGTCATGTCCCATGGTCATATTTATTCTTTATTCAGATAGCACTTTGAAGACCTTGAGAATTAAGAAAAGCACAGAAAGATAAGCTTAATATTACTGTATAGTATCTTACACAGAGGAGATTAATTTTAAGGAAAAACTGGAAGCCCACCTGGACGGGTTTCTGCCACAACAGGCCCAGCGAGGTCAGACGGCTTCCCCACACCTGCCTGGTTTATGGCTCGGACACGGAACACATAGCTGACACCCTCCTTGAGGCCTTGCACCTGAAATAAGTAGGCATAGAAGTGATGGGTTTTTGTGACATTTAAACATAAATTTTCTTCCTCTGTAATGATGATTTAGTTACACAGCACAGTGGGTTCTGGACTTGGATTCCAGACTGAACTCTGTCAAAGACTAAGAGAGTGACTTTAGCTTTGGACTTCCTTGTCTCCAGGCCATCTGTAAATGGACACAGAACATTCCTTGATACTGTCTTCCTATTGATGATCTCTTCTTGGTGACCTCATTCATTTTAAGTAATTGGAGTACCACTAGCTTTAGAAATAAGAGACTGATATATGTATGCTTTAAACAAGTGAGCCAACTTATTCTTTGGTTTAAAAAAAGCCAAAATACAAAGTGTATTTTGAGACATTCCATGAATAATTTCAGCTAAAATTCCTAGCAAAAGAGGGGAATTACAAGTATGGATCGTGGACACTTAGACCATTTGTTTAAAAGCATGTTAAAACACTGGAACAAAAGAAGTAAAAATTAGCCCTGTAAATTTAATAGAACTATTTCTGATAAAAAGACAAGTAAATAACTTACATGTGAATGTTAGTAATTTGTGAATAATCAAAATGTATTCAAATTCTAAATCCCTGAGTCTGTAATAATCAAGATGTTTACCGAAGCCCTCATTATATGTGTGCCAAGCTAAAAGTATGGCTATAAGAGTTGCAAAAAATCTCTATAAAGTATTTTTAATGATAGTTATGCTTTATAAGTTTTTTTGTGACTTTTTTGGGTTCAGAACAATCTCATTACTATTATAAATACTGTTAATATTTCCTCCTAAATTCTTTTTCTTTTCAAAATGTGTGACTTTTTAAAGTTGCATTTAAGAAGAAGAAATTTATTACATCATTTATTTAAGAAGAATTTATTATATCAGAGAACACAATTTTGCCCCCCTCATAATTTTGTGATAGATATTAATATCCACACTGTGATTAAAATCAAACAAAGCTAGAATGCATTTATTCAATTAAATGAAGTGTGTGGCCATATATTTAAATGAATTATGTATTAAATTGTTATGTTTTAAATCTAATTATTGTACTGTATTTATGATAACAGAAAGTCACTACTTACGCAGTGAAAATTTTCACCAGTGCTAATGAATATCAATCAATAAACAAACTTGAATTTAGGCATTGGTAAATACATGGAGTTTGATGTATTTAATTTCAATGTTTAAAAATAATGCCAGGAAACTGTATTTACAGAAAGGAACAGAAACATTTCCTTGTTATGAAAAAATAGAGCAGTTATCAGGTGCCTGCTACATCTGCACCTGCCACTCAGATAATATATGAGTCAGATTTTTGCAACATGGCCCAGGAAGTGATGCCACATCCCAGTGTCCAGTAACTAAGGTGACAGGTACACTCGTCCTCTCTCCATCACCGCAGGGGGAGTGACCATTAGCCTCAGAGCACCAGAGATGCATAATCTTTGTATGTCTTTGGAATTTTCCCCAATTCCCTGTAGTTTACGAAGAGGCTGCATTCCCTTGCCTTCTCCATCCAAGTCCTCCACCCCTTCACTCTCTTCTCACTAAGTCAATTCATTAGGCTGTAATTATTACTATATGAGAAAAATGAGAGAACCCTAACTCTTTTTGGTTAAATCCTTTTGGTAGAAAACATTCCATGTTTAATGCTCTCTAGGAACACCCAAACACGGGAGCTTAAAGACATATGGGTGCTCCCTCCAGAAACCTATGAGCCCATTATGTCCAGGAGGAAACTGTGTTCAGTTCTCCCGTTAGTGGAGCTCTTTTGCCCACACACACTTAAGTTTGCCAGATTATACCTGTTAATATGTACCTTTTTTCTGCATCTCAGGCTTGAATATTTTCTAAATGTAAAACATCTGGATAAGTAAATGTACATGAAAATGAGTTTGGGTATTGTAGGTTAAAGAAAATCTTTACTTTTCATCTTTATGACTTTATTGTTTAAATTTTCATCATGAGCTGTGTCAGTTTTATAATTGGAAAATTCAATAATTTTATTTCCATTTAAAAAGCTTTGCTTCACTGAAACCATAAAATACATAAAAGGAAATATAGGCAAAACACTACATGACATGCACCTCAAAGACATCTTTACAGACACATCACCCAAAGCAGTGATAGTGAAGGCAAAGATCAACAGTTGGGACTACGTCAAATTAAAGAGCTTCTATACAGCAAAAGAGACAGTAACTAAAACAAAAAGGAACCCCACCGACTGGGAGAACATTTTTGTACACAACACTAATGATAAAGGCCTGCTCACAAAAATCTACAAAGAACTGATGAGACTCAACAAAAACAAAGAAAATAATCCAGTCAAAAAATGGGCAGAAGAGCTAAAAAGAAACTTCTCTGAAGAGGAAACACAAATGGCCAACAGGCATATGAAAAAATGTTTAACATCACTTGTAATCAGGGAAATGCAAATCAAAACTACCATGAGATACCATCTCACACCAGTGAGAATGACACATATTAAAAAAACTAGCAACAACAAATGTTGGTGAGGTTGTGGAGCAAAAGGAACTCTCCTGCACTGCTGGTGGGAGTGCAAACTGGTCCAACCACTATGGAGAGCTGTGTGGAGATTTCTTGAACTATAAACATAGAGCTTCCATATGATCCAGCAATTCCACTCCTAGGTATTTACCCAAAGGACACAGAAACATTAATTCCAAAGGGCACCTGCACCCCTATGTTCATAGCAGCACTATTGACAATAGCTAAGCTTTAGAAACAACCCAAATGCCCAAAAATAGATGACTGGATCAAGAAGACGTGGTACATATACACAATGGAATATTACTTAGCAATCAAAAAAGATAAACACATGCAGTTTGCAGCAACATGGATGGAGCTAGAAGGGATCATGCTCAGTGAAACAAGTCAGAAAGAAAAAGAAAAATACCGGATGGTCTCACTCATAGCAGGAATTTAGAAAACCTAAATAAGATACTAGGAAAAAGACTAATCAATACAAAGTAAAAATCAAAATCAACAAGCAACTATAAACCAGAGACACACTATGGGGTGGGGGAGGAGGGAGAGGCAGGGAGAGGAAAGACTAGAGTCAAAATAAGGGGTGAGGTGCAATTGTATGGGGAATATAACCCATAATGAAAATGCCTACATTGTGCAAAGATGAAAACTGATGTAAGAATTATATAAAATAAAATATTAAAAAAAATAAATTATATATAAAAAAAATCTATGGTTCAATTCTAAGATGATTTCTTAGATGATTTCACCCCCCATTTTCAGGGATACTCATTCAACCACAGTGTCTCTCTCTTTTCCTTTCTTTCCCCCCTTCTCACTCTCAAATTTTCCATTCTTCTTTTCTTTCCCTTAGGTAAGTGATATTGACCATTCTTTGATGCATTTAATTATATTATCTTCCTGCCCTTATTTTCTGTGCTATTGGCCCCCTTTGCTTGGGTTTTCACTTTATCTTGCCTCATCTGAGTCAGGTCCAACCTCAACTTTTGGGATCCTCTGGTGTGGCAGATTGAGGACTTGGAAATCACACAAGTCATATGCAAACACCACCACCATCCAGGGCATTCCAACCTTTATTTCAATCTGGTCTTTGGGTGTTTTGAATCTAGAGGCTTCCTGACTCATCCATACAGTCAAACAGCATCCTAAACTCCAGGCCTTCCTTGATCTTTTTTCTTTCCCATAAATGTAACCTTCCTTATCGCCTCATGGTTTTGTAAGGGGCTGGAGAACTAATTGGTATATGCTAAATTGAGTTAATGGCATGTTGAGTGTAATGGTTTAAGGGTCATCTCTCTCCAGGATGTATTTATATTTTTTATGGAGACTGTAAATGTCTAGAGTGTCTGATACATGGTATGAATTTAGCCCATAGTGACAGGTCAACAGGAGAGATCTTTTAGACCAGGTACATCCTGAATCTCTTCTAAGGCCCACCCTCTAGGCACTGGCCTATTCTATGAGCAGAAAAGGCTGCACACTGAGCTGGTGTGATTGTGGTGAAATCATGTTTCATCCTAAGTAATAAAAGCCAGCATCACATTCCCCCCAGTCCTTCTGAGGTTCTATGGCTTCAAGATCTCCAAATGTCACTGCTGACAAAAGAGGAAAACATTCTTTTGAGAATTCCATTTATTACCCGTGAGATTGTGGCTTTAGCAAAACTGTCTTTGGTACACAGATTAGGAACTGGTTTGATCAGAACATTCTCTAGAAATTTGGAAAGCAATGACATAGGCAAGGGTGAGGAAAAGTTCAAAAGTTGAGTGAACCTTTTCCACTAACCTCTGAGAGCTCATAGGAACACAGCGTGAAGAAGCAATTGAAGTGAGACAGAGCATGACTCAGAAGAATCAGCAGTTAGAGGCCTACTGGTGTGAACTGTAAAAAATAGCACTCAAAAAAATGGAGGTAGGACTGTAAAGGTCACCTTTGGGAATTGTTGGCAGTAATGTCTTGAGACTGGGTAACAAAAATGGGAGGTTGGTTGGTGAAGTCAAGGAGGAAAAGGAAAGAAAGCAGGGAGCTTGTGGATGTTTTCCAAAAATAGGCTCAGGAATTCAGGTAAAATATAACCAATTTTTTGTAAGTATTAGAAACTGTCCCCGACCACAATCACAGCCAAATGAATCTTACTATGAGACCAACATATGAAACAAACCAAAGCTGAGATGTTCTTTTTCATCTTGCTAACTTTAAAGTTTATATCATTTGAGGGTTTTGGTTTTTTTGGTTTTTTTTTTTTAATAAAAGGGGGAGTTTCAAACTATGAGCACTCTCTTACCTTCAGGTATTTATTTTCAATAGCTTTCTCATTGATTCCTCGCCACTGGTCATCTTTGGCGTTGGCCTCCTTCAGGTCCACAAAGTAACCTGTGACTGGAGTCCTCCCAGAGTAGACTGGGGTCTTCCACTGCAGAACCAGAGAGGTTTTCCTGACCTCACTATACTTGAGACTATGCGGTGGTCCTGAACGGGAGAGGGAATAGTGAATAGAAGTCATTGTATAGAAAAGAATGCAATTCAAATAATAGGAAAACTCTAATATATAATCATCTGAAGTCACATTTGAGCTCTTAAAGCTGAGGCTGAAGCTAGTTCCTTTAAAAAATCTATCATTCCCCGGGCCTCCCTGGTGGCGCAAGGGGTAAAGACACAGCACTATGAAGCTATCTCCAGCCTCTGCAGCACAAGTTCTATTCCTGGCAAGGGAGCTGCCCACATAGCATAGCAGACCTCTCCCACATGGCACGGCACACCTCACCTGCTGCTCCCCTTAGCAGTATATTTCAGTAGATCTGCCTATTCTGCTCCTTGCTCTGTCTCCAGTGAATCCTCTCACCCCCTGCCTCTCAGGCCGTACCCCAGCTCTTGTATGCATAAATAAATAATCTTTTTTTAAAAAAAATTTATCATTCCCTTGGAAATAGATATTTTATGGTCATTTCATATTAAGTTTCCTCAACTGCTCTACATCAATATATTTATGTTTAGCTAAGGCCAGTTAAAGGTATCCCTTAGAATTTTGATGAAAATTTGCCCTCAGGCTGTCCTCAGCCTTGTGTTTGTCACCTTTTATTATAATGTTTAATTTAGCTGCAGATTCAGTTTCAGGTGCATTTTTGGATGATAATCTGAAAATACCCCCAAATCTCAAATGAGGATCAAGAAAGCAATTCTGTCTGATGATGTATGATATAGATAATAAATATTTCTTTAAAAGAAGTAAAATAGTTCCCCAGTGGAGGAAAATCTTTCTATAAAGCATAGAGACCGTATGTAGCTAAAAACAAACTATAGGGACAATCAATCTCAAGGGCCCTGGACCTGTGGTAAACACTGCCAGGTACATTACATTCAATTATTTCATTCATCCTTAAGATAATTAATAAAATGCTCAGAGAAGCTAAGTAACAATCAGCCTCTTCAGGAAGAAAGCCCAATGTTCTCCCCATATGTGTAATCTTTGCATTGTTGGATGAGGCCAAACTACTAAGTGATTATTTGTATCTTTGCATGATTAGCAGCTGCTATGTAGGTGATACAGTTATTTATTTTCCTTCTTTCCTTTTACTTTTTAAATAACAATTGATTTCTAACCAGCCAAATTCACCTGAATTATCTCACAATGGCCTGAAATCCAACTACAAATACAGACTCTATGATATTAAGCTTGGCATTTTGCAGTTAACAGTTCACTATTTGGCCCTTCACCTTGACTTAACAGTCACAATTCTCTGTGAGTCATCCTTGCCTTCTGATGTCTGTATGGAAACAAGCATAAATAATACAAATACCTTATGCTAGGGTGGCATGTTCTGTTCTGCAAAGGGTTTTTGTGACCATTTTCTCTTGCTATCTTCAAAATCCAGTGAGGCCTCCCAACAGGTAGCAGCATATTGTTTTACAGAGGAGCAACACAATTCTGTTGTTTCCTGGTACCTCCCTTCTAGGAGTAAAAGACCTAGTGCCCAGTTGTAACTGCCGCTTACTATCTGAGTGAGCTTCCAAGTATTTAATCTGAGTGTCAGTTTCTTCATCTTTAAAGCAAAAGAATGACAAAGTATTCTCTTTCCCGTAAGAGCTTTCCTGACTTACGGCTTGCCCACCACTACTCAGTGAGTCAAAGATGAATCTGAGAAACAAGGGGTCAAGGAGTGGAGATGCCCCTTTCATTTCATTTCTCCTCCTATAATCTCTTGTCAATTAAGTCTCTTTCTACCAAAACATTTCTCACAGGGTTGCTCCAAATTGCTTTGTCTCTAGTGCTCACATTTTAATTTTATTCAGGAACTGAAAGAATTTAAATACAGATTCACTTTTCTGTAGGAGGCAGAAAGAACCTAAGAAATATTAACTAGTCTCAAGGAGGTACAAGGAAAAGCAGTAGGTTTGTCTCTTGTATTTGGTGACGTTGAGTGAGCACTTGAACTTTTCTTGTTATATTTTTATTTGCACTTCACTAGGTGAAGGCAAAATGTTTCTCCAAGGGCACTAAGGTTTTAGGTAGAGGAAGAGGGTGGCATTGGGGGCAGGGCTGAATCCACCCATGTGTCCCTGTGTGGCCTGGTGGTCTAGAGTGGTTGATAAGGGTGCCATCTCTGTAAGATGTGTTATATATCAAACACAGGGGAGTGCCATCCTGTGGCACTCTTTTGGTCCCTGAAGTTAGTACTATTGGAAACAAAATAAAATCACTTGCCAAATACGTTACTGTTTCTAGTTTTACTAATGGCTTAGTAAAGTTGTTTGTTTTCAATTTTTAAAATTGTTCAGTAGGAACTGCGTAACATCTTGAGCACAGGTAAATTTTTCTGTCTTTTCCCCACTTTCTCCTTTGAACAGCCAACCACCTTTTATGAAAACCTCTAAAGGAGAGTACAGCTAGCCCAGTTCCAGGACCTTTCTATTGCAAACTTAAGAATGTAAAGAGAAAGGGCTGGAGAATAAATATAAAGAAGTGGAGGGACCAGACTTTTAAGTCCTTTAAGTCCAGGAATGTGGTTCACCTATATAACTAAAGGCTCATTTAGCTCATTGCACTTTGCAGAGTCTGCTTTATTTATTTATTTTTTTACAAATTGGAAGTTTGTGGCAACCCCACATGGAACAAGTCTATTGATGATTCTTTCAACCAGGCTTAGATGATGGTGAGCCATTTTTAACAATGAAGTATTTCTAAAGTATGTTACACACATTGTTTTGTTTTGTTTTGTTTTTAAAGACATAATGGTATTGCACACTTAATTTCTGGGAAACCAGAAATTTCTGACTTGATTTATTACAGTATTAACTTAGTTGTGGCGGCCTGGAACCAAACGTGCTCTGTAGCTGAGCTGTGCCTTTAATGAAGAGCTGGGGTTAGGGAGAAGGCAGCAGTAAAGAGAAGGCACATTGCTGGGTCTGGATAGAGATTGGGGTGAGGGTGGGGATGGGGATTTGATAAACAAACTCAAGAGTAGTGGTAAGTGCATGAGAACAAGGGAGAGTAGGTAGAAATTTTTGAGAAATTTTGTGGTGGGATACAACTTGGATGTCCTTTAATCATCTTTAAGGAGCAAAAGCAAAATTGAAATTCTTTAAATGATCATAAGCCCTTAAGTTATGTGATTCTGTCCATCTTATTTTAGACAGAGCTAGGGGATTCTAGGATTTTTTAGAATACAAGCATAAGAAAGTATTACTCAGTTTTTCATTGGTGTCTATTATTTAATAGTATTGAAAAATAGTTTACATAAGTATGAGAAGACAGAGAATTTGTTTCCCTAAAAAGGTGTCTTTGTAGCACTTAAGTTTAGTTCTAAATTGTAGGTTCCTTTGGAAGAGACCAAGTCTCAGTGCCAAGACAGTTTACCTGGAATGGCAATGGTCCATTCTTCACATTTGAAGCATTCGCTCGCTGCTGAGGCCTGTCCCAGCCCGGCCAGGTTCATGGCTGCCACTTGGAACTGATATACCGTGTTTTCCTTCAAGTTGCTTATCTGCAACATGGATGATATCACAGAGAGTGAATATTTCAGGTTTGTTTTTTCTAGTTATTTATTTGCCTTTATTTATTTGCCCTATGCTGGACATTCCCTAGGTGATCCACAGTGAGCCACACCCTTTTGTATACTCCAGTGACCTGCTTCTAGCCAACAGAACATGGCAAAGATATTGGAATACCAACCCTGTGGTTGTTGTGATAACTCGCGGCAAAAGAAGAGGGGTATTTTACTGGCAATTAAAGTCTCTCACTAGATGATTTTCAGTTAATCAAAATGGAGATAGATTGTTCTAGATGGGCCTGACTGTGGTATTGTTATTTACAGTAAGAAATATATATTTGGCCTTTCTCTTTATTCCTGGCACAGAGTTCCTGAAACCTTTAGAATTTCCCAAGTTATGAGAGTGATAAAAGTGTCTTCTGTTAGACTTGGGGAAAGTCTCTGGGTATGAAGGCTAGTAGCTTGGGGTGGTGGGGCAACTGTGTGATTAGAACTTTCAATCCCACCCTGGTCTTCTCTAGAGGGAAGTTCCAGCACCAAGGGTAAAATGATTTAACCAATCATGCCCATGCAGTGAATCTTTATAAAATTTTTAAGAAACTTTATATCCTTGTTTGTTTTGTCACAATATAAGATTTCTCCACTCAGGTGTGGTCACTATGGTTTTCCCACCACCAAAGCACCCATAGCCCTCCAACACAGTCCATTGTGCTCTACTCCACGTCCATCTCCTCCCCTCCCACTTTCTCCTCCCTTCCTTCCGGTGAGCAGAAGAGGACGAGTGGGTTTTTCCAATGGACTAACTTATGAGACAGAAACTCTTAAAATGAAGTTTGTGACCTTCCTGATGAGAAATACTGTCCTGATGACCTTGAAGAAACAAGTACTATTTATAAACAACACAGCCACTCACAGCCTCTGGGAGACACAGCTGCAAGGAACTGAATTTTGCCAATAACCTGAAGGAGGCTGGGAGGAAAGTCAAGCTCCAGATAAGAGGCAGCCCAGGTGACACCTGACTGCAGTCCTGTGAGACATGATCAGAAGACCTGGCTAAGGCGTGCCAGGCTCCTGACTCAGGGAAACTGTGAGATAACAAGTGTGGGTACAAATTTGCTATGATCTGTTATACAACAAAAGAAAACTAATGCATATTTATATGAAAATTAAATGAACTCTAAGCTAGGAATCAAAACATTAAAATTCTTGTAATATTGCTGCTCTTTACTGAGTTGTCCGTTATTTTCTGTATCTCCCTCCGTAAGAATTGGATTGTTGTGAGAATAAATATATGTGATAAAATAATGAATGTGAAAACATCTGCAAAATAGAAATAGAATATATTAATGTGAAAGGTATTGGTGGAACCAGATGAGTTTATTTATATGATTTAAGTCAAGATAAACAACCTATGATTCAGTTTACATCTGATTTGATCACGAAGTCACAGTTCATCCATAGAGGGTTTGTCTTGTTACTTACTTAGGATATAAGTAGACTACAATGGCTATGTGTTATAATAACATAACAATATAATAACATAACAATTAAGCACCCTTTGATTACATACAGACATACACATTCCCTTTAGGAGGGAAATTCTTTTTAATTAAGGAGAAACCACAATGTAGAAAACTTGATCTAAATATGTTTTATTCAGGTATCATGGTTGTTTTGGGACCCTATAGTGTGACCAATCATCTGGTTTTCCTGAGACTACAGAGTTTTCAAGGACAAAGGACATTTAATGCTAAAATGTCCCATTTTAAATGTCCCATTTAGTGCTAAAAGAGTCCCAGGCAAACAGGAAAAGTTGGTACTCTAGGCTTAGGTAAATGTTATGACAGAGAACTTCTACTTTTGGTTATACAGTGTGCTAAGCTAATCAGATTATTCTTCCTCTGAAAAAAAATTAAAATACTAGATAAAAATATCTTTTACAAAATTTCAAAGGTTTGAAATTAATGTCACGATGTTACAGAATTATCATACCAGAATGAAGGGAAATAAGGAACAAAGAGAGATAAATGAAACACAGAAGTGGCTTTTGCTTTGGGGAAAAATTTGACCTTTAGTTTTGATGATCTTATGAGGAGAGGAACGTAGCAATCAAAGTCTTAGGTAAACCTAAGAAGAAGATAATAAAAGGGAATTTCTATAGACTAAGCTGGAAGCCTAAAGGACTTTACTCTTTGGGGCAAAAGTTGAATCAGAAATAAACCTGTCTTATATAGATGTGCAGTGCATATTTATATCACCTGATTATCCAAAACTTTAAAGTCTTGTACTTGGTTTAAGAAAAAACTGAACAGGTGGTATCCCCAGGCACCTTGCAGAAGCATTTGCAAATTCTTTCCAGAGAAAAGCACCTTCATCCTAAATTTCAAATTATGCATGCAAATAATATTTTAAAGACAATGAGCAGAACAAAACTAAGGAAATCCATGCAGAAAAAACAAGACACTATGAGTCATATCAAAACTACTGATAACAGATATTAGATAGCAGAATTATCAGACATAGATTACAAAAGCAGCTGTTTCCCATGTTTTAAATATAAAACACAAATTTAAGGGCCTTCTGGTGGTGCAGCAGTTGAGCGCTGGGTTGCAAAGCTGCCCACACCCTCTGAAGAGCCGTTTCAATCCACGACTGCTCCCCGGCCACTGGAGGAGGGTCCCACATGGCGCGCAGACCTCTCCTGCTGCCCGCTGCTCCCCTCAGCAGTGTACTTCAGTCCTTCTGCCTGTTCTGCTCCCTGCTCCGGCTCTGGTGAATTCTCTCACCCTCCCGCACTTCTGACTGTACCCAGTGCTTGTATAAATAAATAAATAAATCTTTAAAAAAAGAGAGAGAAATTTAAAAATAAAATAAAATAAAATAAAACACAAATTTAAAATAACTGTAGGAGACACTAAACTGTAAAACACATAAATTGTGACTTATAAGAAAGGGAAAACACAAAAAGAAACAATATTGGATGTGTTTAATAGGAAATTAGATGCAAAAGAAGAGAGAATTTGTAAACTAAACATAAGAAGAAGTTATATAAAAGAAATAAAAACAAGAAAGAGAGGAAAGTGATTAATACACATGAAGGATAGAATGAGAATGTCGTATGTTTAATTAATTTCAGCAGGAGGGGAAGAAAGAATAGTACAGCATCAATATTTTAGGAGATAATGACTTAGAATTTTCTAGAAAGATCTTCCTGAAAAATCTAAGCTACAGATTGAAAATTTCTCCTCCCTCTTTAATCCTAGATACAAAAAATCCAAAGTAGATTTAAAAAATCTCAGAGAGATTTAAAAAAGATACATAATATTTAACTATAGCACACCAAGAAGATATCAAACATACTAAAAGCTGTCCAAGAAAAAATACAAATTACACTCAAATGAGCACACAGACTAAGAGCTGACAAGTCAGTGGCTGCAGGGTGCCAGACTTTAATGAAAACATATTTTCAAAGCGTGAAAGACAATAACTGATGGTCTCACTCATAGCAGGAATTTAAAAAATCTAAATAAGGACCAGGTAAAAACCTAATTATAATTAAGTAAAAATCAAAAGCAACAAGCAACTATAAACCAGAGACACACTACAGGGTGGGACAGGAGAGGGGGAGGAGGGAGCAGGATCAAAAACAAGGGGGGGGGGGGGAATTGTATGGGGACTATAACCAAGATGAAAATGTATACATTGTGCAAAAAATGAAAAACGTTGTAAAAAATGTATAAAAAAAAAAGACCTTAAAATTTTTTTTTTACTCAGAATGAATATACAATGAGGAAAAAATACTGATATTTTTCAGACAAGTGAAAATGAAGTGAACCTTTAGCAAACTCTCACTAAAGGAATATCTAAAATATTTAGGCAGAGGGCGGAGCAACATGGCGGCGAGGAGATGCTGCGAGAAAGATCTCCCATTAAAAAAAAGTTAATAGGGAGGAAAAGCGGCAGGTCCCAGTGAGAACTGGGATGCGGAAGATAAACGGACGACTCCAGCAAACTGCCCGAAGAAGAAAGTGGCCATAAAAGAGGACTAGAAGGGAGGAAAGCGCAGAACCCTACTCCCCTCCCCCACCCACAGAGGCGGCACTCTCCGACCAGCAGAGAGGAGGAAAAAAACAAACTAAAACGACCAACAAGAACAAACTACGCAGCAAGCGGGACTGTGAGTGGAAAGGAACTATTGCAGCCACCACACCCCGTGAACGGGAGCTGCGGAGAACCCTGCAGGATTCGCCGCGGAGGTGAGCTCCAGGCGCCATTAAACAGAGACCCTGCCCCCCAGGAGGAGACCTGGACCAGCACACAGCCCCGGGCCGCTCGGTAAGCTTGCGGAAAAGCGGCGGGCTGGAAAAGCAAACGCGGTCGGGATCGCGTGGAAAAGCGGCGGGCTGGAAAAGCAAACGCGGATTGGGATAGCGCGGAAAAGCAGCGCGGTTGAAAAGCAAACGCGGATTGGGATCGCGGCTGCCCAGGTCCTCGCGCCTGCGACTAGGCTTGCAGGGAGACGCCCGCGAAGACCCTCACTGAGGTGAAAGTCCCTCACTGAGTATCCAGGAACCAGGCACCCAGGGACGGGAGCGGGGTGCAAAAGACGCCATTCTGTGGACACTGAACTGGGCTACAGCCCGCGTCCTGGACCTGAGGGCTTTGGAACTGAGATCCGGGGCACAAAATTTGGGGTGTGGGTTCTCCACGACGGTGGGGCACAAGGCAGACACAGCACCCCAAAGCCGTTGAGGTTTACCTTACCATTCCCGCTCTGTTTCCTGTCCCACGGGGTGAAAAAAAAAAAAAAAAAAAAAAACAGCTCCCCAAGGGCTCTAGGAGAGCTCTCTGGCGCCACCTAGCGACTTGAAACCAGCAGAGGCTCCTGGAGGAGCCAGTGGCCAGCTGGGAAGTTAGCCCACGCCGGGCCCCTGCCGACCAGTAGTCTGAGCCCACAGGGGGAGTGAGTACCCAAAGCCGGGGCAGACCAGGCG